GAGGAAAATATTATTTTCCTCGTAAGAGCCTCGTAAATTTACTTCCACTTTACGAGGAAACGCTTTTCTCGTAAGTTTACGAGAACCTTACGAGGAAAAGATGTTTCCTCGTAAAGTCGAAGTAAACTAGTAGTATTTTTACGAGGAAATGTTTTCCTAGTAAATTTTCCTAGTAATGGCTTAGTTTTCTTGTAGTGCCTGATCCAAGAGGTAAGAGAGCCATTTAGAATTGGAGGTTTTTTGTGCAACACGGTACCAACCAAGCCCTAATTGAACGATATTATATGCAGCAACCACAACATTTATGTACAACTCAACCCTGAATTAGAATCATAAATAACCCACAAACATATTATAATAAGATAACTTAATTATAGCTTTTTGTAGGAGAAGAATGTACTATGAACATTTGTTATACAAACAAAAAAAAGAAGTGAAAGTAGCAGTCTTCACAGTACAAAAAGGCACATTGACATGCAGATCTAACCAAACAGGAATTGTTACTAGAAAAACAAGATACTTCTTCCATTTTTTCTTCTTGTCAGCGCACATATAAACTTAAATCAATTATATTTTGTAATGGAAATAAAGACCCATCATGTTTTCCATTGTTTTTATGGAGATATCGATTGTTAATTATACATATAAATCTACATAATTGATAATATAAAGGAAAAATGGACTTACTCCAGAGCAAACAAATATCTGAAAGTGACTTTCTTGTGGATATAAGCAATGTCTTTGGTCTGAGAATCCAAACCAATCAGAATAGAAGTGAGTATAAGAAGAAAGACAATACAGAGTCTCAGGATCACTTCTGTTTCTCTCAATCTCACCATCTCTTTTCTCTCCTACCAAGAGGAATTAATATCCAGTTCTCTTATAATCTGCCCTCTCTTTTTGGTTATTCCCCGTTTTGTAGGTGAATCTAATTGTGGGAATGAAGACAGACTCTAACATAAAATTTTAAATGTCTATTATATATAACATAGAAATGGTTCGGAACTGAGGATTTGGCAATTTGTAGATCACTTGTATAGTTGCATGAGCATTGAGTAGAATACAGTTACACGTCTAACTCGCATTAAATGTTTGATGACCTAACCTCTCCTAATGAATTTGATCCATATAGGATTACTAATTAATTTTTGTCGTTATAGTTATCCAAGAATCTCGAGTTCTTTTCCTCTCTCTCAATAATGATTAGTGGGTGTGTGTTGTCATATCTTGTGAAAAGTAGTACTCGATCTTATACATTCATAATTTTCTGGATTCAATAAAAATCAACGTTAAACTGAAACAATGTCATGAGTTTCTTAATCACGAATTTTAGTCATAATATTTTGGCTTAAATTTGCGTGAAAATTAAATAAAAATTGAAACTAGACGTGGAAACCAAAAGCTGCTGGAGAGAAGTGCTCTGATCACAGAGAAAGGCCTGAAACCTCTTGGTGAGAATAGATGGGAGAACTGGAACCATTTCCATTTGTCCCCCTATATTCACGGTCCACTACGTCTCTAAATAGAGATGCATCGGCACGAGTAATGAGGTTGTTTGGCCGACAATTTTATATTACCATCGTAGGGCTGAGCTCTCTCCGGATTAGATATTTCTGAATTTTAGGCAGGAGTTTATTGTTCATTGAGAATTTATGATATTCGAATCAGATTATTTTAGGTAAGCTTTGGATTCAACTATTTTCGGACATATATTAATTTTGTATTGGATATTTAAAATATAATATTAACTATCTTTAATTGTTCTCTTCATCTATATTTAAATATTTACCCGAACTAACATACTTGTAACTTATATATATTTAAAAGAGATTCAAATTACCAAAACACACAAGTATCAACAAAAATACACAATACATTTGAGATAACAAAAATAAATATACTTCAGGATAACATTTTATATATTTTGGATATGTCCATATTAACTTCGCATATCGAATATTAGCTGGATATTATTCGATCGGGTTTATAGATCTAATCTTTTCGAATTCAATACATGTTCAAATATTTTATAGATCAAATAGGTTTAAATTCAAGTATTTCAAATCAGGTTTTGTTTTGATTTTTGGATCCGAATATTATGTATACCATGTACCATCGCTTCAATCATCTAAACCTAACTTAACTTGTATTTAATTATTGTTTGGAGCAATTTTATGTGGTATATTAGTTAATTGTTGCAGTATAAATTACAATTTCAAATTTTTGAATATAGATTAACTTCAAAACTGAGTTCGTCTAAAGATATAAAGAAAATATAATGATTTTAGGCAAATGATATTTGATCCAAAAAAAGAAATACACTGAATGATGGGAAATTACGAATTTGGACAAGTGTGATCCGGAAAATATGAATTAACTTCGAAACTGAGTTCGTCTACCAATATAATGATATTTAGGCGAATGTGTAAAATTTGATCCAAAAGATGAAATAAACTGAATGATGAAAATTAATTACTGAGTTTGGACAAGTGTGATCCTGAAAATGCAACTTAACTTATATAAATTGAAAGATCTTGGATACTAAAATAAATACTCATATACTAGTTCAAAACATAATTGGCAGTCTCAATTTGAGACACGTTCCGTGCTGTAATTTGGACTGTCCAAAAAGTTCATTCCCTACTTAAGAGTTAAGAGTCTTTAATGTTTGGTCCTATTAGTTAGTTGGACCAAATAACGCATTCATTAAACTTTGAGCTGATATTTTTTCAATTTGTAAATCTCATGATATAAATGTATCAAGTATTTTACACTGGGTTAAAATTTCAAGGTATTGAGATTTCTGTATATTATTACTTTTTATCCGGTTTATAAAAATGTCACTTTGACTTTTACAGGCTAAGAAAATGATTGAAATGCATTTTCTTGTTAATTAACATATATTCAATTAATAGTATTTTAGATAAATAAAATTATTTAGAAAATCAATTCATTTTACAATTTATATCAAGATTAAAATAAAAAAGTACATTGAAATTCTAAAATGAAATTCTTTATTTAACAAAAAAAATATAAAAATGACTGACACTTACTGAAACATAGAGAATATTATCTTTAGTCAGAAAATCACAAATAAAATACAATATATTTTAGCTTCTTTTTGATTGTTTTCAGATTTTCTAAACACAAGAGAGAAAAACGAATGCTTTATTATTAATCAACGCTAAATCTGCATATATATCTACACATAAGTAAAATATATTTTTTCAATAACTCTTTATCAAGCTATAACCTATACTTGCCACACACAAAAAACAAGGTAGTAACTTTTATTCCAGAAAATCCAGATCTAGCGAACCAATGTTTGCATTAGTTTTTTTTTTAAAGAAAAAATGTTTGCATTAGTTCACCTGGGTTGTTTGACAACATGCGGAATCTCACAAGTTTCTAGATCGTTGTTTATTTCTTTTCGTGCGTATTTTTATTTTTATTCACAGTGCTGTTCGTTTGGTTGCCGCCAGTCTTGCGGCTGTGGCTGCGGCTAAGTTTTTTACAAAATTTTGTTCGTTTCGTTGACGCGGAGGACCTGCGGCGGCGGCTGCGGCTGGACGCGACATCTGCGTCTGACGCAGATAAAAACTAGCGTATCTCGGGTAATTTCTGCGTTTACTTAGTTTAATTACAATTCTGCCCTTAACCTAATTCATTATTCACTAAAAGACCTAATCTTATTAGCCGCAGCCGCAACTCTCTTCTCCTTGGACGCGACTTTTTGACCAGATCTCTCTCTCGATCTCCAACTCATCTCGAGCTATCTCTCTCTCGTTCCGACGCATCTCCAGCTTCTCCGACGCATCTCCAGCTTCTCCGACGTATCTCCAGCTTCTCCGACGTATCTCCAGCTTCTCCGACGCATCCCTCTCTCTCTTGACGCAGGAAGAGCTATGTGAGCTCTCTCTTCTCGGACGCTCTCTCTCTCTCTTCTCCAAAGAAAACCCATCTCGAGCTCTCTCTCTTCTCAGACTCGAGTTCTCTCTCCTCCGTGGTCTCTCTCTCAGGTTTGTTAACTTCTTCTTTCTCTCATTCATGGCTTGTCTCCGTGGTCTCTCTCTCAGGTTCTTTCTCTCTCTCTCAGGTATCTCTCTCTCTGTGGTATCTCTGCATCTGCTTTGTTCACCTCCGAGATGTCTCTACCATTTGAAGTTCTCTGAAGCTCTCTGAAGCTCTCTGAAGCTCAGGTTTGAGGTCTGTGGTCTCTCTTCTTCTGCTTTTGCTCTCTCTCACCGTGAGTCTGTGGTCTCTGGTTTGATGTATTGTTTGCTTGTTTCTGGTGATGGGTTTGCTTTGATTGTTAACCTTTGATCTTGTTTCATTCTCTGTTTTGCTCTCGGTTGAGGATGAGCTCTGTTTTGTTTCATCATAAGTTCACTGAAATGTTGTTACTTTTGTTCTAGTTCACGTGATTATAAGCTTTGAAGCTAAGATAAAGTGTGCCGATCTTGATGAAGTGTTTTATGTTAATTGATAGGTGCTTTACTTCTCTTTGGCTTGACTTCTCTTTGGCCTCTCCAGCTCTCTCAAGCTCTCTCTCCATAGACGTCTCTCAAGCTCTCTCTCTTCCCCTGAGCATCTTGAGTTCTCTCTCTTCTCCATAGACAGATCTCAAGCTCTCTCTTATCCCATTCGATTATCATTTAGGTACAACTCTGAGTTTTATACTCTGAAAACTTTGTTTTTGATTGTAAAAGTTTTATTACTTGAGTGTTTTTTTGTGTTATGTGATTTATTTGTGTGAATCATATCATTGATGAATGTGTTGTGGGTTTGTCTCAGGCTCTCTCAGGCTTCTCCATAGCTGTGTCTGTGTGTCTCAAGCTCCATCTCGAGCTCTCTCTCTTCTCAGACTCGAGTTCTCTCTCCTCCGTGGTCTCTCTCTCAGGTTTGTTAACTTCTTCTTTCTCTCATTCATGGCTTGTCTCCGTGGTCTCTCTCTCAGGTTCTTTCTTCTCATTTTCGTGTTCCGTTGTCTCTTTCTCAGGTATCTCTCTCTCTGTGGTATCTCTGCATCTGCTTTGTTCACCTCCGAGATGTCTCTACCATTTGAAGTTCTCTGAAGCTCAGGTTTGAGGTCTGTGGTCTCTCTTCTTCTGCTTTTGCTCTTGATCTTGTTTTGAAATTCGTTTGATTGCATCTTAAATGTTAAGTTCTTCTAGTTGATGGTAGTTAATGTATAAAACTAAATACATACAAAGTTATTAAATTAAATGTATACAAAGTTCTTGTACTGTATGGCTTATTTTTACTTTTCTTTCTGGTTTTGTTTTTAATCATTTAACCCAACACAAACGAAAACGTATAAACCTAAAGGGTAACATTTTGCGTCAACAATGAGCTAGAGTAATGTAACAACGCTAATGAGCTTGCTTTGATTGTAGCTAAGAGACACCTACATTGATTGAAATTTATCTAAGAGACAGCTAAGCTGTGAATTTTAGAAATGGGTTTGCTTTGATTGTTAACCTTTGATCTTGTTTCATTCTCTGTTTTGCTCTCGGTTGAGGATGAGCTCTGTTTTGTTTCATCATAAGTTCATTGAAATGTTGTTACTTTTGTTCTAGTTCACTGAAATGTTTTTGATTGTAAAAGTTTTATTACTTGAGTGTTTTTTTTGTGTTATGTGATTTATTTGTGTGAAGCATATCATTGATGAATGTGTTGTGGGTTTGTCTCAGGCTCTCTCAGGCTTCTCCATAGCTGTGTCTGTGTGTCTCAAGCTTCATCTCTCAAGCTGTCTGAAGCTTCGTCTCTCACTCTTTTGAAAGGTATCTCTCTTTATACATAAAGCATAGACAGTCTAAGCGTGTTTTGATCTTGTCTTACAAGAAAGTGTGTTCATTTTAAAATGCAAAGTTTTATTTTTTGATGATCCGTTGGGGTCTCTCAGCTTTAGAGTTTGTATTCTGAATCTAAGATAAGTCACATATCTTATCTTTAGGATTAGTATGCATGATAGCTTCTACGTGGAGATGCAAGTAGTCAAGTGAATTTTTATTTAATTCTTATGTTTGGTAGCTTATTCAAGCACTGAGATATTAATATAGTTCGGGAGGAGATATTAATATCCCCAAATTCGTTTCCCCCATTGTTAATTATAGATATTGATCTTTAAATGTAGAAAGAGCTTAACTTTGAAAGAGCTTAACTTTGCTTTGATAGTTAGAGATTAGAGCTGCAAATTGAATGTGTATATTCATTGTTGATTCATTTCTGTCTTCTTGTCTCTCTAAGTTTAATCCGCTAATGCTCTTGCTTATTTATATGATGTCTGCAGGTATCAGGCTCTCTCATCTCAGACTCTCCCAAGCTCTCACTCTCAATCATTTTAAGATGACAAAAGAAGCAGAAGCAGTAAGTATAATTAAATTGTCAAGCATACTAAAACAGTAGAGATTGTATCATGTGATTGTACACCAATTATTGTTCTGATTGTTCTTTGTTTGCATTCTCTTGGTCTGATTATTCTTTGTGTGTTTTAGAATTGGTCTCCTGAGGAGACTAGGTTTTTTTTCCAACTTTATGCTGAAGAGAGAAGAAAGGGAAATAGGACACGTACATGTATGAATCAAATAGGAAAACAGAACATCATTGAGGCGTTTGAAGAGAGGTTTAAGAGAGGATATGTCATTTATCAACCTTTCAAGAACAAATACGACAACTGCAGGAAGAAATACACCAAGTTTAGGAGGTTGATTAAGAATAGGACAGGGATTGGACATGATAGCTTGGGGAGAATCGATATGTCTGATGATTGGTGGAATGAATGCGAAAGGGTCAGTTTCCTTAACTTTCTTCTGTGTATTATTTATTTATATTACTTACTCTTCTTCTTACTCGTCAAGCTCAATTATCCAATTTAGTTTTTGTATAAGCACATTTGTAATTGTTAAACATTAATCTGATAAGTAACTGCATTGCGTTTATATTTGAAGCGGATTTTTTTTTAACATTTCCCTGTTGCGTTTTTATCTCTTCAATGTGTCTGCAGTTGAATGAGCTCTATTAGTATGGTCTTTGAGTTCGTTGATTTGTTTGTGCCTGTTTTGCCTTAAATAAATGAAAAGTAACTGCATTGCATTTATATTTGATTTTACTCGCTAGAAAAGTCTTCACTATTAGTATGGTCTTAAAATTTTCTTAGATACTGGACATGCTGATAGTTATCTGTATGGATTGGTTTGTCTCTACGTGATTATGTGTTTATGTTTGTAATTTAATATTTTATACTGCATGCAGCGTATGGATTGGTCTGTCTCTACGTGATTGTGTGTTTATGTTTATCTTTTGCATATCTCTCACTTGTGTTTTTTTTCTATTTATAGGAGTGTCCAGGGATTAGAAGATCTTTTTGGAAAGAGGAACTTAATATGGATGTGTTTGAAGAGGAGTTTCGTGGAGTAATTGTAACTGGAGCAGAAGGATGGAGTGCTCAACATGGAGAAACAAGTTTGAATTCTAGAGTGGGTGGAGATGATGGTGATGAAGCTGATTCTCAGCCAGTAGCAGAAACTCAGCCAGTAGCAGAAACTCAGCCAGCAGCTCAAACTCAGCCAGCAGCTCAAACTCAGCCAGCAGCTCACTCTGGAAGTTCAAGGGCTAAAAGAAGGCGTAAAGAGAAAGATGTGGTTGTAGAGTCTTGTGACAAACGGACTGCAGCTATTGAGGTGAAGAATAGGATAGCAGAACGGCTGCTAGAGCGTGAAGAAGCCTTTAGTATTGAAAATGTGTTGCTGATACTGAATGCGTTGCCTGCAGTGAGAGAATGGTCTCCATTATATGGAGCAGCAGTTGAACTTCTTATAGATAGTGAAGGGAGCCGAAGGGGTTTTATGACAATGAAGACAGATGAAGCTAAGACTAAGTTTCTGGAGCTTAGGACCAAGATGAAACGTGATGATGAGTAGTTAGTTAGTTTGGTCATAATAGCAAGAGAGTTGGAACTAGTATGGAGCTTAGGACTAGTCTTTTGTGATCTTTTGGTATTGCTTTTGTGATGGAACTAGTATGACTTTAGTATTGTATGACTTTAGTATTGTATCGTTTAATATCTGTTTTAAGAGATTTGACTTTATAATATTTGCTTCATAATATTGTATTGCTGTCTTGTGATCTTTATGTTTGATATAGATGGTCCATCAACCTATAAATCAATATGAACGTTAGAACATATTCTTTACATTTATTTGTGTTGCTATTTGTTTAGTATAACTTTACTGTTTTTTTATTTGTTTATTGATGATAATTTGTTTAATGATTTTGTAGATGCTTAAAAGATGGATATTGGAAGATGAGGATGGCGATTATGATGATGAACTTGGTATGTTTGATATGGTTACTACTGGGAGATTGAGGCATATATCAGATCAAGGAGCAGGATGGCGTCATGTTCAACAACTAATGTATGATTCAGATCAACATTGTTATGACATTCTTCGAATGAATCAAGCAACTTTCCAGGCTTTGTGTAAGATGCTAGTTGAGCGGTATGGATTACAAGAGTCTCACAATGTCTACATTGAAGAATCTGTTGCAATGTTTCTTGAGATGGTTGGTCAGGATAAGACGGTACGGGATATAAGTGAAAGATATCAACGAGCAAATGATACGGTGAAAAGGAAGCTTGAGGATGTTTTGAGTGCTCTTCTGAAGTTTGCAAGTGATACACTACAACCACAGGAAGGTGAATTTTCAAGAGTAAATCCTGTTTTGAGGAATGATGATCGGTATTGGCCTTATTTCAGAGATTGTATTGGAGCACTTGATGGAACTCATGTCCCGGTTCGTCCTCCTCCTGAAAATGCATAAGCATTCAGAGGCAGAAAGCAAGATCCTACAATGAATGTTCTTGCTATATGTAACTTCGACATGAAGTTCATATATGCTTATCTTGGTGTACCTGGTAGAGCACATGATACAAAGGTGTTGACTCATTGTGCGAGGAATGAGGCTACTTTCCCACATCCTCCTCCTGGAAAGTATTATCTAGTTGACTCCGGATATCCGACCAGGACAGGATATCTTGGTCTGCATCCTAGTATGAGATACCATCTTGGTCAGTTTGCTAGAGGAGGACCACCAGTTAGTGCAAGAGAGTTGTTCAACCGGAAGCATTCAGGTTTGCGATCAGTGATTGAGAGGGCATTTGGAGTATGGAAAGCAAAATGGAGGTGTTTGGATCGTAAGCATCCAAAGTATGGTCTGGAAAAATGGATTAAGCTGGTAACAGCGACGATGGCACTACATAACTTCATACGTGATTCACATCGGGAAGATCGTGATTTTGTACAATGGCAAAGTGGTTATGATGGAGAACTAGAAGAAGCTGATGGTGATGGTGAAGAACAAGGAGAAGCTAGTACTTCATATGAGCCGACTCGTGATGCAGTGATGGAAGAAATGCGTAAGAACATCACAAATGAATGTGGTACATGTCGTTTACCGTATTAAATATTATTGTTAAAGACTTGATGTATTATTTAGCTTTTGTTTTGTGTTAAATACTTTGATATATTATTTGTGGTTTAAAACTTTGTTTTATTTATTTAAGACTTGATGTATTATTAAGTTTTTATTTTGTGTTAAATATTTTGATGTATTATTTGTGGTTTAAGACATTGTGGTTTAAAACTTTGTTTTATTTATAATATTTATGATAAATAAATGTTTTTAAATTAGTATATTTGCCTATAAAACTATTACAATTAAATAAAATATTTTGATGGAAGTAAAATATATTTAAACAGTATTTTCTTTATTTAAAATACAATTTTACAAATTTTTAAAATTAAAATATGAATTAAATGAAAATAAAACTTTCTGCGGCTGCGTCTGCCAAACGAACAGCATAAATCATTTTTCTGCGTCTGCGTCATGCGTCTGCGTCAATGTATTGCGTCCATGAAACGAACAAAACTCTGCGGCTGCGGCTGAGTCTGCGTCTGCGGCGGCGGTTGCGAAACGAACAACAAACAAATGAACAGACGCAGCCGCAGCCGCAGCCTCAGCCGCAGCCGCAGCCGCAGAAACCTGCGGCGACCAAACGAACAGGGCTCACATTGATGCTGCTATACATGGAACGCAAAATAAACAATCACATAACTAAACAAGAAAACAGCAATAAATTAACATCAGACCACATAACTGCGAAATAGAATGTATTATCAAGTAGTATAACTTTTTATTTTAAGATTTCATATACCTGTATATCATCGTATCCCATAAACACCAAAAGAATAAATCAAAATAACAAGTATGAAGTAAAACGAAAAGGGAAATAAAAAACTTATTGAAGAAAATGTTCGAAAATTCTCAAATTAGAATCAACCAAGTTTGCTTAAAGGCTACACTCCTTGGCGAGACCCTGAGGGAACCTTTTATAATCGGTACAATAGTTGTAGATCATAAACTCGTCTTGCACCCACTTCATCTGTCCGTACTGGTGGTCATTGAGAGAGGTCCACATCCACGAGTCTTTGTTTGCGTCACAAGCCACCCATGTTGCGTTCGAGGTTCTGCTACATGCGCTTTGGTCGTTGAAGCTCCTGTAGGAAGCGCTAAATGGTGCGTTGCTCCAGTCAATCTTCACGCGACCGCCTTGCGTTGCCCAATCATCAGCTTCCCAAAGGCTTGAGTATATTTTCATCGGTTGGCTCGTAGGGTAACCCACCCCATTTTTCTCGTTGTTCTTGAACACCCTAATTGGGATCCCATCCACAAGGAAGCTTCGGACACAAGAAAAGGTTTAAAACATGTCAAAAGATTGTAGAAATTTAAACCCTAATTTTTCAGGTTTCCGAACAAGAATTATAATCCGCTTATATATAAAGAACATAACAAGGGATCATTGAGAAATGAACAATATGGGATTATACGTGTCAAAGTTCATAAGATATTGATATCAAAATTCAAAATCAATATTGATGAATTGATTCAAAAATAATATTACTATTGGTTTATGCATACCGGTTTAGTGGTTTGGTTAGATTAGTTGGTTTAATCTCAATTGTAAAGTCTGACTATATATACATGTAAATGTAGTCAGACTTTACAATTGAGATTAAACCAACTAATCTAACCAAACCACTAAACCAGTTTACATAATCCAATAAATATTACAATTTTTTTACTAGTTTACGCTTTTCTGATAGACTATATACTCACATGATGTTAACAGGGTTCCAGTGGACGGTGTAGGTGTGGAAATCAGCAGTGGGATCAAACCAGAGATGGAACTGCATCTCGCGGTCACCTTTACCTCCGGTAAAGACATTGGTGTGGATAGTGTAAGGCTCTCCTGTGAGATTTCCCAAGAACTCGAAGTCAATCTCATCCCATGTCGAGCCTTTCGATGAAAGCTGTCACAAAATGTGTAATATTATCATATATAGTTTCATTTTATTATAGAATGGTTTTGACTATTAAGATTAAAATAAAAAGAACCCTAATATATCAACTAGTTTCACAAGGATATTCGTCCTTACATAGTAAGCGGTTACGGTACCAGCGGAGTTTCCAGCGACAAGCTTGAGCTTCATGTCGATCTTACCGTACAAATACTCCTTTTTTGATTGAAAACCGGAGCCGGAGGTCTTGTCAAGAGTGCAAGTGAGAAGCTGTCCATCCTCGAGTATTTTGGCACGACCCTCTCCCCAAGTGATATCAAAGCTCTCGTAGAAGTTTCCGGCAGATGCAGCCACGACAAAAAAGAAGAAAGACAACAACAAAAGCTTTTTGGTTGCCGAAGACGCCATTTTTCTCCTGTACTCTCTGTTGTTTTCTTGCCGTGAAAGATAAATGCTTTGTCGATGTATTTAGATGAGTTTGAAATGAGATTATATAAAGAGAGTTTCGTGGAGGCACATTACCGACGTGGTTGTCTTAATTTTTTTTATATACTAATATTTAAATTAAGAAATATTCCGCCTTACACGATTCAACGTCGTGGAATTTTTGAGTCTAAAATATTTTTCTTCACCGACAAAAAAATAATAATAATATTTGTTTCTTCTCTTTTCAATAGTTTAATTATATATTCTCTATTTGTCACCCAAATATATATTATTTCATATTTACTAAAATATTAATTTAGATCAAATTGCCATTTATAAATAAGAAGGGTTGAACAATTCTACCGTTATGTTATCATTATAAGGTTGGATTAATTAGTATAAATGTTTGCTCGAGGAATTAATAAAAAGAATCTAAGAAAGTGATACCTTTCTTTCTTGGTTTAGTTTTCATTTTAAAAAAACTATATTATGAACAATATTTGTTGATTAATGGGAAACCGCGTTTGATATTGGGGTTGATTAATCGAAGGAAATATTTTATTTATAGAACAAAGCAGCGTGAAGGGTTTGTTTAACAATATCAAAACCATACACAGCTGGAAGAAATGTTGGATAATAGTAAAAATAGAAACTATTGAGGAATGGAAACCATTGGAAAACATGCCGAACCCTGCATGATATTAGTAAAAATAGTAAGTACCTAGTAAAAATAAATGCGTAAGCCAACATAATCTCTTTTGCGATATCCGATGGTAAAATAAAATCTGAACATAGCTTATTTAAAAAGTGTGCCATTTTGGTTAATCAAGCATAAGGGTTCAGAGTTATTCATCGTTTTTGAAAAACCTAAGTTGATTTGGTGTAGTGCTTATATGGATAAACTAATATGTATTCCTCTCGTTTGATTTGTTATCATAGTGGCCACTGGCCAGACTTCAACTATTCTAGTCGTGGATTTTTATAAATTTGAGGTAATGTATATATCGGAGAGCGGAGAGCCATGCGTTACGAATCCAAATAACTTTTAGTTGATTATTTCACTTAAAAATATGCATACACGTATAACATACTTACATAAATATTATATTTGACTAAGCACAAGATACTTAATATGAAAAAAAGAAGATATTTTATATGATGAATGAAAAAAATAAATCTTTACATTAAAAGCTCTACGCAGCTAGACACTCTCGTGGAAGACCTTGAGGGAACCTCTTAGCGTCGGTACAGTAATTGTATATCATGTAGTTACTCTGTACCCATCTCATCCGTTCTTGACCCGTCGAGTCTAACTCCTGGGACAACCATGAACCACTGCCACTCCCATTGGGACACGAAGAATTGCCGTTTGACACGACGCAAGCTTCTTCACTGAAGCCGCGGTATGAAGCTATGAAGGGAGCTTTAGACCAATCAGTTTTAACCAAACCACCTCTAGTAGCCCAGTTTTCGGCGTTCCATAGACTTGAGTACATCCTCATTGGTTGGTTCTTAGGGAACAATGTCCCTTGAGATTCCATGTTCTTAAATTCCCTTATCGCAGTCCCATCCACAGAGAATCTGAATAAATGTTGAAAATATAAACAAGATTAGTAAAAAAACGTTGCATTATAAGTTAAAAAAGACATAAAGTTTTCTCAATCTTGATTTTGGCTCGATTGTTTTGATTTAGTCTATTATAAATAGTAACCAAAGTAAAACCTAGTATAGTATGGATGGATTGTTTTGGTTCGGTTTGCTATTTGCTTAAGGTTATTTATTTTTTATTTAAATACAATTTTTTTATAATACATTTAGATTTTGGATATATAAAAAAAGTACTAGTTGTGACCATTTTAGAAACATGCAAGAACACTTACATGATGCGTTGTGGGTTCCAAAGGATAGAGTAAGTGTGGAAATCACTAGTGGGATCAAACCAGAGTTTGAACTGTTGTTCTCTGTCTCCTTTGCCTTGCGTAAAGACATTGGTATGAAGTGTGTAAGGGTCACCGCTTAGATTTCCCAAGAACTCAAAATCAATCTCGTCCCATGTAGTTCCAAGTGATTTCAACTATAAGAAAGAAAAAAAAAACAAACCATTAAGCTTATTTTACTCTAAATAATAAAAAAATTATTTGTATGTTTAGGGACTTACATAATAAGCAGTGACTGTTCCTGCGGAGTTTCCAGCGACAAGCTTGATCTGCATGTCGATCTTACCAAACAAATACTCGTTCTTGGACTGGAATCCTGAGCCAGAAAACTTGTCGAGAGAGAGTGTTAGAAGATCGCCGTTATTAGTGATCTGTCCACGTCCGTCTCCCCAAGTTATCTCTACGTCTTGGTAAAAATTGGCGGAAACAGAGTAAACCATAACAGCGGCAAGTAGAGGAACCAAGATCGTGGAGTAGTTGATCATCGCCATATCTAGCTTCTTCTTTTCTTTTCTTTTTTTGGTGGGTTTTGTTTTGAGTGTATATTTGTAGGGGAGGTTGAAATAGTGTGTATTTATAGTAAGAGAAGACATAGTCAGAGTCAGAGAAGAAGGTTCGGTTCAGACGATAGGTTTGGTGAAGACTGAAGAAAAAACAAAGGCGCGTTTAGGTTCCGACAGCTGGAAGATGGAAAACTGATGGTTTTAAAGATGGCTATGGTAGTAGGAGACGCGGTTTTGTTTAAATGTCTCTTTTTTGTGTGTGTGTGTGTTAAATTACATTTATTTAACTTGATCATTACGTCTCCTTTTCTAGATGAGTCATGGAGTGTATGGGACACAGCTCAGAAAAAGATCTTATCTTGTCCTAACCTTCGTTTATATTGACAAGTTTCATTTCACCAAGGGTCCCCAAGTGCAGCCATCTTAGAATAGAATCAGTCCAAACAATGACGTAAATGTTTACACTAAGTTTTGATAAGTTTTGCAGGAAACTACTATTCCCCAAGTTGCATTGCATGTGTGATCTTTTAAAATTTTCTAATATAATATCACACTTTGTTTGGTTTTTTCTTACTTCAAGGTTACAAAAGACGTTTTTCAAAAGTTTGGCATCTAAATAGAAGTCTAAAATATTGAAGACATTTTTATATGTGGGAATTGAAGACATTAATGGGCTTTAGAAGCAAACAGCTACTTCTTTGAAGCCTTTGAGTCCTTTGACGCTCTTACACATCCAAGGGCTGGTCTTCTGTCTTAAATACATGTTTCTGTGTAAGATCATGGTTAACCAAGATGATGATGTTGCAGTGATAATCTCTTCAAAGACTGGACTCAAGTGTGTTTACCCTGACCTGGATGCCATGAAAGCAGTTGTTATAAAGCTCAGTCCAAAAGATCCTTGACTTCAAGATGCAGCTTAAGGAAGACTCGAGTGTCCACATGCGTTCTTAATGAAGAGCTAAAAGAATTTTATCAAACAGCTTTTCAAAAATATAAGCATGAAATATAATAAGACAAGTATACTGGATGGACTAATAGATGAAAGATTAAACGTTGATGTCACAAACCTATAATATGTCAAACAAACGAAACACAAAACATGAAATAATGTGAAACCATATCCGTAAGTGATCCTGGTATATTAACCTAAATCGTACACGGCTTCTTCTATACTTTAGCAAGCAACCTGTATAAATCATCTATTAGTGTATATTTTAATCAAGCTCAACAATCTGAGCTCTTCTCTCAGCAGCTTTCTTCCTAATGAAGATTCCCCATTTCATTGCTGCTTTTATCTTTAGCCACCCAACAACCGCTTTAGTTGACCTCCCACGGTCCTCCTCATAGCCATGCACCAAAGGTGTATTTTGCATAAACGATGGGAAAGCATATCCATCGTCTCCATCGCCTCCTATGCCACAGAGGTGGAGCAGCTGTTGCATGTCCTCACTCTCTAACATTTCATTGCTTCTAAGCCGAATCTCATCCTCTGACAAAAGGTCTTTCTCTTGCTGGTGTGACCAGTCTTCAAAGGGATCAAGATCTGCCTGATGCACAGAAGAACCTATGTCTTGGAACCCGCCTGTGAATTGCAGTGGGGGAGGACAAAGAGCCAATCCAGTTACATATTGATTCTCTAAGTTTGTCTGAGTTTGACGTTGATGTATCCCCATAAACTGATCTTGCTGCAAAACAATATCGAATGGTACTTGTGAGTTATGAGGCTGAGCTGTTGGTAGCGTTTGATTATACCCTGCAGTAAAGATAGACACAAAATATAAGCTTACAAAAACACACATCTGAGATTTAGTAGTTTACAAGTGATGATTAACCAACCTTGGAATGAGAATCCTGTAAACTGACTAGGAGGTATAGCAGACGGACACAAGGTAGAGTAATTTGCCGACACAGTTACAGGTTCTGTCTGAGAAACATTCACCCTCTCAGGCTGATTGAAATGTAAAAGAGTTTTGCCTTCATACTCTATGACATGGCTCCAATTATCATATGCTTTCTTCACCAATCCATCCACATACACCTATTAAAATCAAACACTACCACATCTTTACTACTACCACACAAATATAATTAACTTCTAACAAAGATCTGTAAATTAGACTTTCTCAGAACAAATACAAAAGAGTTAAGGAGATTATAACTGGACCTTTTGGCTGTCATCAAGTGAGTCAGCAGAGAAGTACTGATCCCCGGAGATAAGGCCACTTAACTCATATATGTTATTGAACACAACACCCACAGTCCTTGAACTGTCAGCATAGTATATGTAAAGCTTACCGCTTAGTACACACGTCTTTGCGTGCTCCACTAGCACATCCCACATCTTGTTTGACATGCCACTTCCAAGAGTCTAGACACATATCAGATAAGCAAAAATCAAATGAAAATTATCATCCAGTAGCAATGAACTTAACGTTACAAAAAAAACTTACAGTTCGTAATTTTGCAGAATCCTTAACCAATTTTCTCAGAAATTCTTCAACATTGACTATTCCTTCTGCGGTTAGTTTCTTATGAAACGCCCCATCCTTACCGATCTTCTCCAATCTCCACACTTCATCACTCAAAACAGGTGGATAATGCTTCTTGTACACTGCATCAATTCAGAAGAAAAAAAGTGTCAGTTATCACAAGAAGGTACAAAGTAATAAAGAAAAAAAGTTAAAAACATACATTCTCCCCTGTGATCTTTAACAGTGAAAGCCTCAGTCTTCGCCTCACGTACACGTATACCATCACATCCTCCAGAAGCCACCTTTAAAGCAAGTCTAAACTTCCTACTCCTAATCCAACTCGAGTTATCAGTGAACACTAGCTCCCCCAAAGTACCTACACCTTCCTTGAGAACAACACACAAGTCTCCAGTAAGCAACGGTCTTTTCCCATCACGCTCTTTCACGACATGACTTTCAAACTCTTCTTGCGTCCAGTCTTCTTCGTTGAAGTCACCTTCAAGCACAACAACCTCAAGCTTGAGAGAAGCTTCTGGTCCAAACGTTACAGGACGCTTTGTGTTTGCGTCTATCAACACAACATGGATGGAAGCACCTTTTTCTCCTTCCACTCTTCCTCCAGTAAATAAAGGGAGTGATAGTCTAGACTTAAAACGCAGCTGCAGGTTTCTGCCATCTGGACCGTTGATTTGTTTTGGAGAAGTGCCCGAACTGTAAAGTAATCAGAAGTTTCAGGATGTACACTATATCAAGGGACACTAAGTTTTAAGTTATTACCTTTCAGCAAGCCTAGAAGGGATTAATTTTGCCAAAGCACGTTCCAATTCCTCACTCACCTACTCCAAACACAATAGACGTACCAACGGCCTTAACAAAAGAAAATTGATTCTTACCTAAACATAACTTGCAAGAAGCTTACAAAGATTTTTTTTTTTTTAAAACAAAATCAAACACAGTTGATAGAGTCTGATACAATAAAAAAGAGAACAACAAGTCAGAAAGAGAAAAAAACAGAGATCTTACAACTCTGCGGAGAATAGGTTCAATAGATGAGCAGAGCTTCTGCAAGCTGTCAACTTTCATCGCCTCAACAATCACACTGCACAAATAATCAAGATTCGAAGCACCAGAAAAAACGTTTAGAATTTAAAAAAAAAACTATCGGGTGAATCAGAGAAGATGAAGAGAAACAGACTTAGCAAGAGCAGGACGTTTTCTCTCAGGCTGGTCCTCATCGTTCCTGTTTAAGTTCCTCTTCATTCTTCAAAATCTGTAGAGGAAAACAAAACAAAAACCCTAATTTTATTCGATTTTGCAAACAACATAAATAAAACTCGGACGAATCGGAGAAGACTTCACGTAGACTCGCTTGATGATTAAAAGATAATTATGAAGCAAAAGGATTAAGAGTTTTACAGTTATGATCCGGTGACGGGGGAGTGATTTGTTTTGCTTGTTGATTAGTTTTCCGACAGAGTCTCCTCTTTGCCTACTTCAATGCTCTTTTGTTTTGTTTTTATGTTTGGTAATGGGGTCAACTCGATATGACTGAGAATGTTTTTCTTTTTGTGGTGAGGTGTACGGATCTCCACGGTGGACCTCCCGTGCTTGTCACGTGTCATCAAATAAGTGAAGGACCCCACTCTGACATTCTCCAATTTAGTACACGCCCTCCAATGTGTCTGTTTATTCTCTTTAAAAATACGTGGATCAGAAGATTATTTCTTTTTTTGTGGTTTTTGGTCAATTTGGGTATTTATTAGTGATCCCCACTTAAGCCTTTGGGTTCTTACGCTAGATAAATGGGCCTGGAAGAGCTTTGATCCTACCTCAGGGTTTTGTTGGATTTTCATCTCACGGATATGAAAAGCTGGTTTTGCAAGAGGCAAAGTGCATCATAGACAAGGCATTGTGGGGGTCAACATCATACAAAACAGCTGTTTAAAACTATAGTAAATTGCTTCTAAATTGTAGCTTTTGTACAAGTTTGTTTTTGTTTTTAAAATGTAAATAAAAACTTGTTAGCAGCATCCAATTACTATGCAGATTTAGCTTTGGGTTGTCCTTGGAAACCAGGATAACTGATATTTTATATCATAGGAACTACATTTTTCCAAAGTCAAAAGCTATATAGATATGAATTTTAAAAACAAATAGAAAAATGTAAAAAGCAGGTGTTGTTCAAGAGCTAAGTCAGCCACAACATAAATTGATAGCATCAACAGTATTAAAAGAATATCCAACTAATATACAAGTCCGCCTTTGATGTATAAAAAACTATTGATTAATTTGATTCCTATAAGTCGATCATACAACAATTTTTGTAAGGGTCACTTACTTTAGAAAGAAACATACAACTATGAACTGTTTTTTTTTTTTTTTTTTTTTTCTGAAACACACAACTATGAATTGTTCACATAGCTTTGTTTCATTCAAAAAAAAAAAAAAGGAACATACTATGACAAAAAGAACCAAACTAATTATCCTAAATCCACCATTATACAAATACTTTAATATATTTTACCTAAAGACACTTTTTGACTATATATATATATATATATATATACTGAAAGATAAAAATCTACTTGTATGGTTAAAACATCTACAATTCTCCTTCACCGAAAGCGAAACATAAAGTGGTACTGGTAATAAGTGGTAACCATAATCGAACATGGAAGCCACAAACTACTTGACATTCTCAAATTGCATTTGTCATAATTAATTATACCCTAAATTAAACATATAAATAATCACCCCCATCAAATCAATTTTTCTTCCATCATCCAAGAAAATCGTTGGAGCCACACCACAAAAAGAAAGATGGCGACCACAACATCAACCCGAGCAATAGTTTTCGCTATTGCCATTCTTTTTGTCGCCATCCAAGCCGTTCACGCAGACTATTACCGACCACGACTACCCACACTTATGAGCCCTCCACCATACGTCTCGGAGCCCAAGCCGCTCCCAACTCCCAGCCCCAAACCTATCCTCTACCAACCTCCTCCCACCTCCCACTACCAGCCACCCATGGGCTCGTTTGAAGATCAGTTCCTTGCTCCACATAATTCTGTTCGGACCAGCTTAGGTATTTTCATATATTGTATATATATATATATATATACATAAAAACATTATGTCCAAATTTATGTGTGTTTTATTTCAAAAGATTTTTATTTTTTATATAAGATACAAAATTTTGTTAACCAGAAACTGATTGAATGCGGTTCATTAAAATGATTTGATTAATTTCCTTTCTTGTAGGTCTGTCTCCATTGGTTTGGGACGCCAGGATCGCGAGCTATGCAACTTGGTGGGCTAACCAGAGGCGGTACGACTGTTCCCTAACCCACTCCACTGGTCCATACGGTGAGAACTTGTTTTGGGGGAGTGGCTCAGACTTTACACCAACTTTCGCAGTGGAGTCATGGACCGTGGAGGCCAAGTCCTACAACCATATGACCAACTCGTGTGACGACGGTATGTGCGGTCACTACACTCAGATCGTGTGGCGTGACACCAAACGGATAGGTTGCGCTCGAGTTGTCTGCGAGAACGGTGCAGGAGTTTTTATCACTTGCAACTACGACCCACCGGGTAACTACGTTGGAGAGAATCCTTACTAACTTTGTCTAACACTTGGTTATATAATTAAGTCGTTGGTGATTTCATAATCTATGTTTTAATTTCTCGGGGTTTTTCTTTCTTTTTAAATTAATTATTGCCTGGATCTTATGTTGGTGGTGTGTTATACGAGGAGTTTGTTGTTTGTACTTTTCATTTTTGTAATGGCCATGTCAACAGGTGAAAAGATTTATAACGTTATGCAACATTCCATTGTCCTATCATATACTAGTAATTCTAATTTATTTACATATGTATCAATCATCCCGAAATAAAACATGGTTATTTCTGGGATAGATTGTCTGTATCAAGGGTAATTTACCAGAAGAGATAACTTTACATTCAATTAAGGTTTTTGATCCTTTATTTTATTGTAATTAACCTGAAGAGACTTGTTAATTTTAAAACCATGTTATCTCTTTAGTGGGCGTTCTATTAAAGGATATGTATAAATAACCATAAGTACGTAAAATAATAATGTATAGAGATGCAAGCATAACGAGTATCACAAGCCCCACAAACACATCTATTTTCTAGTAATGTACACAATGCATCCACCTAATCCCCTTCAAAAAGTCATAACAGTTTCTAAAAACAAGATCAAAGAGTAGATGAATGATCGCTCAATAGGGTTTCTGGCCAATGTAGTTACCAGGAGGATCATAATTACAAGTCATGAAAATCGCACCACTGTTGCACTTTACACGTGCGCACCCGACCCTCACCGTGTTCTTCCACACCATCTGTGTGTAATGCCCACACACCTTCCCAGGGTCGCACGTGTTGGAACCGTAATGATAAAACTTCTTCTCGCTCGCCCACGCGACCACTGCATCGGCCGGGGACCATTCTTTGCCGAATCCAGAGAAAATGTTCTCGCCGAAACTAAACTCTCCGTCTTGGAAAGAATGTTTCAAAGCACAATCTCCTTTTCTTTGATTGGCATAGTTTTGAGCGTAGTGCTCGAGCCTGCGGTCCCACATCAAAGGAGCTTCAAGTCTTTGGGCACGAACCAAATTTTGTCGGAACAAGAACTGTAACGAGTCATGGTGACATCCCAGACACTTGGTCTTACTGGTTTGGAAAACATGACGTAATGATACAGTTTTAGCTTTCGTTCTGGTTCTGGAGCTAGAGCTGGAGCTGGAGCTACTTCTTGTTCTGGTTATTGTTCTAGTTCTGGTTATTGATGTTGAAACGCAGAGATTAGTGGCGATTAATAAGAGTAATATTATACGTAAATAGGATGAGATCATCCTTTGTATTTTTCTTGAATTTTTTTTTTTTAAATCTTTTGGATCCTAATGGTTTTCGGAGGTTCAAGTGTGGTATATAAATATTGGGGGCGAAAAAAGAAAAGGATAAATTGTGTTGAAAATGTATGGATATGAATTTGAGCTTTTTTTGGCGATGCTGCCTATTTTTTTTTCTAACCGAGTAACTTGCGTTACCATTGGGAAATATGATAGATTGTAAATTTGGCAGGTTGCTAGAGAAAGAAGAAAGTGATTGATGGTAAATATGAATTGTATTATTGGAGGGAATATGGATGTGTTTAATTATGTATGTATTGTCCTGTGAACGCGAATGTCGTCCGTATTAGATTAGGATGACATGGGAAAATAGTGGGTCGTCACTGAAACATACTCTAATATGTCAACATGCCAGTACATTTCTGCTCTCACTCACATATTTCGCCTTTGATTGCGATAAAGGTGGACTTTGACCTCTAGAGAAAGGTACCCCTCGAGGGTGTTCAGTTGACATCTATCTATTAGACCAATCGATATGTTTTCCAAAATCTTTTAGTACACATATATTATAGCCTCCCGCCAACCCGCATGCAATACCTGACGTCCAGCATGGTCTGGTTGGCATGACCTGCTACTTGATTGTTCTGAAATTATAAGTCCATATCCATCCCGTTTGCCACCTCTAGGCTCTAGACCCAAGTCACATGTCCTCATAGTTTTCTCACTTACATAGATTTCCACTTTTTGAAACACATGATTCCTTGGATACATACCATTCACAATTTAAAAACATGGAATACAAAATAACAAAAAGTAAAAATTAATCATTATATGTCAATCTATTCTGTATATTTTTAGAATTATAAATAATGTATACAAAACATAATTTATCTAATAGCTAATGACTTTTTAGCGTTTGGAGTTTATTCAGTTTTAAGTTTTACATCCTATTGATTATGTTATTTAATTATTTAGCTATTTCATATCATTCAAACCATTTAGTAGATATATCAATTAAATCTATAGTTTTTAGTTGAACTGTTTCATTCAAATGACACACTGTTTTCATATGCTACTGTGCACATGTTTATCAAAAATCATAAATCAAATCTCCACTTATTACTTCATCTTTTCCATTAACATATTTTATCGCCATTACACAACTTAAAAAAAAAAAAGAAAAAAAAATCAGATTTTGTCTTCTGACAGTATCTTGCAAATTAATGTCTTAAAAATAAAGTTTGACTAAAAGGAGTTAACAGGTGTCACCGAAACTGTTCCCTTAGCGCCTCCGCAAATGGTAACGTCTCTCCGCCGTGAAAAAAGTTAAGCGACTTGTCAATTTCGCTAATCCAAAACAAAAACAAAAAAACCTGTCTTTTTACTTCCCCACATGATCGCTTCCTTCTCCTTGTCCACACTCCATATCTCTTCCCCCGATTCGATTCCCTCCTCTCCTCGATTTCTTCGTCAACATCAACTCCGGTTCGGCATATCAACAGCAGCTTCGAATCTCGATCCTATGGAGCTGATGAAGCGCCTCGGAATCGGTTGCTTTGCGGCGAATCGGATCAAAAGGGAGGTGACGACGGAGAAGGACAGCGGAGGAGAGGATCTGTTCGTGGAGTCTGGGGAGAAGCCTGATCATTTGGTGGTCATGGTTAACGGTATCATCGGAAGGTATAGAGAGAAAAAGGTTATAACTTTGAGATTACAGTCTTATGGGTTTTAAAGGGTTTTGCTTGGATTATGATTTAGTTCGGCGGATTGGAAGTATGCGGCGGAGCAGTTCGTGAAGAAGTTCCCGGAGAAAGTACTTGTCCACCGTGAGTGGTTTTTAACTTATAGTGATTTATAAGGTAACAATCTGATGAAGAAAGGTTTTGACTTTGGATGAATTTTTGGAGCAGGTAGTGAGAGTAATAGTGCCACGTTGACGTTTGATGGTGTGGATATGATGGGTGAGAGGCTAGCTGATGAGGTATTTTTTGGGAATGTTTGTGTTTCTCTAGTCCCTGCAATTTTGAGTGTGTGTGTGTGTGGTGATGTTTTATAGTTTTGCAGGTGTTGTCTGTTGTTAAGAACAGAGGTGGGTTGAAGAAGATTTCGTTTGTGGCTCATTCGTTAGGAGGTCTTGTTGCGAGATATGCTGTAGGGAAGCTGTATGAACAGCGTGGTGATGAAGCCAACTCTCCTTCAAAGGGCAAGAGCAGCGGCGAAATTGCTGGGTTAGAACCTATGAACTTTATAACTTTCGCAACGCCTCATCTTGGTTCCAGGGGACATAGACAGGTGACTTGATTGATGATGATGTTTTAGATTGTATGTCTAGAGTCTAGACTCTAGGTTAAATGTTTCTGTAAGGTTCGCATATCTAGAGATCAGTAGTTTCTGTGTGAGATGCTTACTCGTGTTTCTTTCGTTCCTTCAGTTCCCGATTCTCTGTGGCCTTCCTTTTCTTGAAAGGACAGCATCCCAAACCGCACACTTGGCTGCTGGGAGGACGGGGAAGCATTTGTTTCTGGTGGACAATGATGATGGGAATCTTCCACTTCTTATCCGGATGGCGACTGATTCTTTTAACTTCAAATTCATGTAAAAAATGCTTCTGCCTCTCTGTGTTTTTTTCATTCGTGACTTGCAAATTGAGATATGTGTAGTACTCATATGCTACTTAATGACCTGGACAGATCGGCTTTAAATGCTTTCAAGCGGCGTGTGGCGTATGCAAACGTTAATTTCGATTGTATCCTTTCCTGAGTAAAGCATGGTGTTAAGTAATCTTCAATGTTTTTTTCACTTTTCTTTCATTTTGCAAGAGACAGTGTTTGCCTTTACTAGACTACATAGACATGGTTGGATGGAGGACATCTTCTATTCGCCGTCCAAATGAGCTCCCAAAGGTAATCCATTTACAACTTAATCAGATGCACAGTCTGTGATTTATCAGTAACCTTAGTGTATTTTCCTATCTTACAGCCAAATCTTCTAGCAACTGATCCAAATTATCCACACATTGTATACGTAGAACATGGAAATGTGGACAATAGTAGTTGCAACTCAACTTCTACTGTAGTAAAAGATGAAAACACTGATCTTGAAGGTTTGCTCATTTCTTCACTTGACTATGTGTAGCCCATTGGTCTTCCTTGCATCACAAATTTCAGGCTCTTTTTTTTTGTGGAACATAGAGGAAATGCTACATGGGCTTTGTCAACTATCTTGGGAACGAGTAGATGTAAGCTTTCACAATAGTAAGCAACGATACGTCGCTCATAATACTATTCAGGCAAGTTTAATAATATGTACTCTTAACTCAGTGGTGTTTTTTTTTAAAACAGCATTTTTACAGTATGGTTTTGGAATGTGTAGGTGAAGACATATTGGTTACATTCTGATGGTAAAGATGTTGTCTTCCACATGATGGATCATTTCTGTCTCTAGCCCCGAACATTTGCAAACCAACTGCTCACTGTTTCAACGGCTGCAAGTTAGTCAGCAATGTAAGAAGGTGGATAAGCATTACAAACTTATCTCCTTTTGTTTTGGTTTGGTATTTTATATGGCATATGATGCTTACAAACAGGGTTAAGTTCTTGCAGACTACACCTTGTGGTTATGTAAAATGTATTATATTTTGTGGAACGATGAATATGTACAGATCAAGTCGTTGTTTGTAAAACACTACAAGTTTGCATCCTCTTCTGGACTCTTGTTGTAACCATCCTTGATGGAATTGATGAATTATATTTCTATGAAAACTAAAGGCTCTTTATATTCTCCAAACTGGTTTACTGAGTCCCAAAGCTAACCTATCTTCTTAGTATAGTCCAGAATAGGTTTATGAACCTTACTAATACTTTGTCAAATTGTCACCGTAGGGAACTAAAAGCTTATTAAAAAAAACTTAAAAAAGGTTTTCAGTATCCTATTTATCAAGCCATTAACTTCTCTTGGGTGGTAGACCAACTATATTGATAAGTCTTTTTGTTGATGTCAACGGATTCACAAGACTTAAGACGGGTTTTTTCACAGTGTTGTTTTTCTGTTTTATGTGTGGGATCTAGTTGTTTCATATGTTCAGTGTTCACATACACATAGTACAAATCTGACAAGAAAAGGATATGACACAACCAGTGCCTATTGGCTCATAGTAAAACAGTCAGTCAATTCAGTCGTTATGTCGTTGTAGTCACTATTCACATTGTACTGGTTCATCCAAAGGATCACAGTATTATTTTTTTTGTCCAACGATAACGTTAGTACTTGTTCATTGCAGTGAAAGGTTAAAAATATAAATGTACTTAGGGCTATATTTTAAAATTAAAAAAAAAACTTGAGTGATAGCTATCCAACTTGAGTGATAGCTATCCAATTTACTTAGGGCTATATTTTAAAATTAAAAAAAAAAAAAAAAAAAGAAAAGAATCATGAACAACTTCGGCTCGCCACAACGGTGACACCAACGTATCAAGATAAGCATAATATATGGCACATGTCGTTGTTGCTAGTTCCCTACATTTTTGTTCTCTTGGCCGATTCTCTTGTTAAGACCGAACTATACCATCGGCATCATCGATCCATCATAACTAACTAATAATAATGTATGAAGTCGAACAGCTCATAAATATTAACTTAAATATCAATTTCAGTTACTAGTTACTAATCATCTATTCAAGTTCTCATGAAATGTACATATTCCGGACTTTTTTTTTCTTGATCCAGAACGAGAAAAATAGTAGAAATCTAGTAGTACTACAACGAGAAGATTAAAAAGAACCAAAACCATACAAAGTTACAAAACGATGCATAAACATCTTCTCAATCAGACAAAAATAATGAAATAAAACACAGTTTTATCCCATCCGCTTCTCTAAGGTCCGCATAATATTTAGACTTCGTAATGATTGCTCTGTTTTCAAGTTCCGGTGCTCTGCCGCACCACCTGATTACCACCCACCTCTTCCTTATGATCACCGCAAGTACAGCTTTGCTCAGACATATTCGCCGGCGTAGCAAGGTAAGTGGGTTTGACGTCTCCGGCCATGATGACCAGAAACTTCTCTGGCATCACTGTTGTCTTGGTCTTGTGAGTGTCACCGTTGGGTTTGGCATCATCTCCTGCCTCGAGATCTCTCTCATCCGAGCTAGTGAGTCGCCAGTAAGAACAAGCGAGGATGAGAAGAGAGAAGGCGATGAGGGCAAGCATGGCGGCCAAACCGCCAAAAAGATAAGGAACCGGAGAGTGCCACGGCGAGTGTGGCACCACCATGGAAGAGCTATGATTGTTTCCTTCAGGGTTTTGGTAATATTGTCTTCCTTCCATTGTCTGCATGGTATGTTTCTCAGAGTGAGCAAATGAAATTTTCTTTTTTTTGTTCTTTAAGTTTCAGTAATAAAGTGGTGTGGGAGAAAGGATTGTGTTGTGAGGCCATTTATATAGAAGATAGTAAGGATTGTGCATGACGTTTCATCTATTATGGTTATCTTCTTAATTACATAGTAGTATATGATATCCTCTAACAATTTTTGTAGCATATCATTTGTATATTTGTGTCAAGGTGTCATGGGTCTTAGATTTAAAATCATTTGACGTTTGTGGATTGGCTACATCATTTATAACTTACTCTATTTTTTTTTTGTCAACACTATATATTACTACACCCCACATTTAAATGAGAAATTCCTAACAACATATATAAAGAAATATAATAACTATATAGTACTATTTCGAATATATACTGACTGAAATGAAATGATAGATTGAGTAGAGTATTTGGAGGGTTGGGTTTAGAGTCAGCTTCCACCATGTTTAAAGGAGGAAACGGATATTCCATTAGTTTCCAATCACTTCTCCATCTCCACATTCTTTCTCCTTTCTTCTTAATTTTCTTTAATTTATTCATTACTATTCTTATATTATTCTTTGATGTTTCCACTAGTATTATGTTTAGTAATAATGTATCATTAAGTCGAGTAAACAAATAAATTTCAAGGCAAAACTTTTTGAAGGCATCCAAGCCAACAATGTTGAAAGATTATAATATTCCAACCTAATTCCCCTCCTACATTAATCTATTGAGATAAACTATCATCTACATTTCTACCATTATGCATATACACGCACACGCACATACACGACAAAAGTTGTGGCGGAGATGGAATACGTAAGTCGAATGATACTTTGTCTATCAACTTTGTAACTTAGAAGATTATCTTTAATTATATAACCAAAACCTTTAGGTTTTATTGTTTGGTTTTTCTCTACAATATCTAAAGGTATTTGTAGTCTAGTTTCCTTTACAATTGGAATCGAACCTACACAAGTTAACAAGTATGTGGTCCATATATATAACGTTTCTTGATCCAACTTCAATTCCCGGATTGATTTGTGTTTATTCATGAATCATAGGGGATCATATTCTCGTTATATAGGCACGTTACATGTGAAGATAATATAAAACAATTTAGACCTAGGAATCCATTAGTTATTGAACCAATTAATCAATGAAAGTACTCATGATTAAGTGCAATAATAAATTAATGGAGTTTCTATTCTTTTTCCCGTAATTATTCTGCTACAGTGGTTTAGACCAATCAGAATCAGTTTCTTATTTGAAAGTGATGGGTGCTTCGGGTTTGTTCGTGGTGAACAACTAGAATACCTCTTTTGTGATTTTCAACAAACCAGAATACTTGCATTCTTTACTTATTTTTAGGTAACAGTTTAAATAAAAAGGGTACCATAACTAAGTGTTTTTCTAATAAACATGAGTTTTTTTATCTTAAGAATACACTAACAAATCCCTACTCTCAGTTTAATGTTTATACTCCCCGTAATTCTTGTATTTTACATACCAAATTTACTAGCGGGCGTTAACAAAATCAGTAACATCGATGACTATGTTATCCAAAAATATATAAACAACGTTTTATTTGAATGTCTATTTTAAGTTAGCTAACAAAGCGGTTGAATGTGAAATTATTTATTGTCAATAGAGTAGTTAACCACTTCTAAAACGTTGTTAGCGTTTTCAAATCAATGGGACAATGCACAAACACTATGATGCGTCTAAATATCAAATATGTGAGGATGAGGAAACATCTCTAGAAATTTATGTGTTATCCTATCCTCATTAACATTGTGAATAAGATACACAAGGGGTATTAATGTGGGAACTGCTCGTCTAGAAATTTATGAACGATCCAATTTATTTAAACACCAAAGTTCAATTAAAAAAACTTAATTATGCAAATATTAATATTATTTAATCAGAACATTTTTTGAAAACTATATATCTACAATGTTCTAAGATCACTTCTAAAAACAGATTAGTGGATTTGAAAATGTACCTAACTGACAATGGATAAGAATATGATCACTGTCACTAATATACTATATGCCATTACAAAGCATATAGCTTTATGGAGCTATGATGATTGATGAGCTATAGAATGTGCAACATATTTCATTATTGCATGCCTCCCATTAGTTACTTACAACGCCTAATAGAATATTTTAATTACAATAAAATAATCAAGATTTGCTCCCAAGGAAAAAGAGAAGATATGGTAATAAAAATAAGGTCTATCAAAAAGAAATTATCTCAAATTCTTCTTCTTTTTTTTTTCAGTTACAACAAGAAATTCTTCTTTTAACTATAAGATATGAAAGAACAATAGCTGTGGGCCTGTAGTCGTTGATATACATATGTAGAACTATTTTATTAGACAACCATAATCTGTGTATACTTATATTTCAATTACTTTTACCTTTCTTTAGGAGTGATATACACATGCCATAAAATGGCAATGTGTTACATTTATACAATCTGCATGTGCATGCTCATGCGACATGAACATGTTGTATAGTCCTTATACCATAAACTCAACCGTATATATATAGCAAATTAGCAATGCAATTGATATATGTAATGTAATGTACCACACACCAAAAATTTGAATATATCAAATGTTTCAAATAATAAACTTCCGTGGGAGTTAGTTATGGAAGAACGGAATACTATGTGAAGGGAATAACACGTCGGCGAGAAGAAACAAAGAGTAAGATTACAAAAACAGAGGCAGCGATTATGTGATTTTTTTTTATTTATTCCCACGACATGATTCATGAGAAGCTGTAAAAAGAGAGAAAAAAAGTTGGAGGAATAAAGAGGGGGAATAGTAGTAAAGCAAGAGGTGTTTCCTCAAGAGAGAGAGAGAGAGAGAGGAGCAGGGACCAGCAGCTGTGGAACCCATGCGAGGAAGGTGGTTAGGCTTTTAGTCGAGACGTCATTATCGTCAAGCACCCTGGCCTGGTCCAGCCTCCTCCATTGTCGGCCTTTGCCCATTTTAACTTACCCACACATCCATTTGATACAATTAATAAATTAATATTATCCGTTCAGATATTTTTCGGTTTTGAGGTAATAGCTGATAAAACTATTCACCATAGTACGGCTGACTCAAACGGTTAGATGGATACTGTTTAGAGGTACGGTAGACATAACCGGCCCCTATGCATGTGCTGCATTTGCACATGGTTCATCTAACTTTTTTTTTTTAAATTTGAAACCATAGAAGCAGAAAAAACATGTTAAATGATAACCTATTTCAGACAAAAAAATGTTACCAAAGAGATCAGAACCAATGCATGTTGGCGCATTTTCTTATATATCGATCTACATCCAATTCCCAAGTCCAAATGGGCTTTTTTTCTTACTATTTCCTAAGGTATGTCAATGTTTGTTCATTGCTTCTTCTCAAAATTTTATTGTGGCCTGCGCCAGGTTGTTGTTGGTGCCCGTTAAGGGGCACTGAAATAAACTCAGTCTCGACCCAAAACTGTTATCCACCTAAGATAAATCCAAATATGTCTGTCCTTTTTTTTCTTCACCTGCATTACTGGTTTAAACTCGAGTGATGATTTGACCAAAAAAAAAAAAAGAAACTCGAGTGATGATACATTGGCAGTATTAGCAAAAACCATTATGTTCATGTCCGATTAAATCCAAGTATACATGTATAATTCATAGTAAGTTTATAATAATGAAACTCTTGTTTTGAATAACCTTTCATTCAACAAAGAAAATTGTGTCTGTTACAATTATTTTTCTTCAAAGAGAGAGAAAGACTCATAGAAAAACCCGTGACCTTTACCTTCATTCCTCTTTAGATACTTCTCAATTCCTCAACAATATTCACAGTGACATACACATTTTGTTTATCATTTACATGTTTATTAAATGTATATATATGACCAAAAAATAAGGGTAATTAAGTGTGTGTAATGTAATCATCTCTAGTGATCTTTTATTCCTCTTTTAATTATCAAATCCAGTCTGACTATTACATGTCTCGCCACCGCATCGTTGTTTCATCACCGTCTAGCCACGACTACGTTCGATGAGTTCAATGTAACACAAAATCATAAATGACAACAAAAGACAATACCTCAACGCAAACAGACAAAAAATACTTAAATACTTGTCACTTTCATAAGAAAATACAAAACCATTCCCAAACTCATCAAGCATCTATAAATTCCTTCTTACAACACTCTCTGCCCCTTGTCCAAACCTGTAAAACATCTCTCCCTAAAAATGGAATCAAATACTCTAACCACCTCTTCCATCTCCTACACCAAACCTCTTTCACCGCTCTCCCTCACGACAGAGCCACCTTCTTACATCCTCCGCAACATCTCCCTCACCTCTCATCCTTCCGAAATCCTCGCCATCGTTGGCCCTAGCGGTGCTGGAAAATCAACTCTCCTCGACATCCTCGCCGCAAGAACCTCTCCAACCTATGGCTCAATCCTCGTCAACTCTCTTCCCATTAACCCTTCAGCTTACCGCAAAATATCTTCCTACGTTCCTCAACATGACGCCTTCTTCCCTCTCCTCACCGTCTCCGAGACTTTCACTTTCTCCGCCTCCTTATTGCTCTCAAAAACCCCATCAGAAACCTCTAGTGTTGTAGCTTCTCTCTTACAAGAACTTAACCTAACACATCTTGCAAATACAAGACTCGGTCAAGGCTTATCCGGTGGAGAACAAAGAAGGGTTTCTATTGGTTTAAGTCTTCTCCACGATCCTGGATTCTTACTCCTCGATGAACCCACCTCGGGTTTAGACAGCAAATCAGCTTTCGACGTTGTGCAGATCCTCAAGTCCGTTGCTACGTCGAGACAAAGGAATGTGATCTTGTCTATACATCAACCTAGCTTTAAGATTCTGTTTCTCATCGACCGCTTGTTACTTCTTTCTAAAGGAAGCGTTGCATATCATGGAAGGCTTGATTCCCTCGAAGGTTTCTTGCTCTCCAAGGGATTCACTGTTCCTCCTCAGCTGAACTCTCTTGAGTACGCCATGGAGATACTTCAAGACCTCCAAGATCCCGACATTGTTCTCCCTGATCAGATCCCTCAAAAACAGAGCAAAAAACAGAGCATTGTTCGATATAGAAGCTCGAGAATCACTGAAGTAAACCTACTTTCTAGAAGATTCTGGAAGATCATATACAGGACAAGGCAGCTGCTTCTTACCAATATCTTAGAAGCTCTTATAGTTGGTCTTGTCTTAGGCACTATCTACCTCAACATTGGAACCGGCAAAGCAGGAATCGAGAAGCGGTTCGGCCTATTTGCCTTCACACTCACGTTTCTCTTATCTTCCACCACACAAACCCTACCGATATTCATCGATGAAAGACCTATTCTTCTCCGAGAAACCTCGAGTGGACTCTACAGACTCTCCTCTCACATTCTTGCAAACACATTGGTTTTCTTGCCTTACTTGCTCCTCATCGCAATCATCTACTCTGTCTCTCTTTACTTCCTTGTAGGTCTCTGCCTTTCATGGCAAGCTTTCGCCTACTTTGTTCTCGTGATCTGGATCATTGTCCTGATGGCAAACTCTTTTGTCCTTTTCTTGAGCTCTCTTGCACCTAACTATATCGCTGGAACATCGCTAGTGACTATTCTTCTCGCGGCTTTCTTCTTGTTCTCTGGCTACTTCATCTCTAAAGAGAGTCTTCCTAAGTACTGGCTTTTCATGTACTTCTTTTCGATGTATAAGTATGCGTTGGACTCGCTTCTGATAAATGAGTACTCGTGTCTGGCTAATAAATGCCTTGTCTGGTTTGGAGAAGGCGATGTGAAAGCGTGCTTGGTTACTGGAGGTGACGTGTTGGAGAAGAAAGGGATTGATGTGAAACAGAGGTGGACTAATGTTTATGTGTTGTTAGGGTTTTTTGTACTATATCGTCTTTTGTGTTTTCTTGTTCTACTCAAAAGGGTTTCCAGTTCCAGGAGATGATTTCCTTTACTATATCTTATTTTTGGCTTAATTTCTGTAAGTTTTTTTTTTGTTTCTTCAGAGTTCATGGTATACATACACAAAGAAGCAATTTATTGATGGAATAGTTAAATTGTAAATTCCATTATCTATAGTTTTCCCTTTCGTTTTGTTCATTGTCCTGTTATGTGTTTGTAAAACGTGTATTAAGCTCTAGATTGCATTGTAATTTGTAAATATACATATATGAATACCAAGAGCTCCACCTAATGTCACGAGTGTGATTGACTCATATCAATTATGATGGTAATGGTATCAATCATACTCGATGGAGAGAGAGAGAGAGAGAGAGAGAGAAAGGCTTACGTTGGGGGAAGGAATAATAATAGAGAGAATCAATTGGATTAAGAGATGGGAGAGCCATGTTCGTGTATTGTGTAAGCTTGGACAAAAAAGAGATCGATCACGGGTCCACATTAGTTTATCCTTCTTAGTGTATGTACAAAAGAAAAAACTATTAGCAATTCTCCGTTTTGATTCAGATTCAAGATCTTGATCAGCTCTATTAAGCTATTTCAGTTTACCGACAGTGTTCTACTTTAGCTGGTATCTTTAACTAATGTTAATTCTCATCTATTACTATTGCAGATCCTAGACTTTCATGTAAGACTGAGCTGTATTGTTTTTTGGTTAGTAACTATGGTTTGGTTAACAAGGGAAGAATTCGTGATGTTGACAAAATAAAAGTAGAATTTAATTAGTATTTTTTTATTATATGGTCAAGTTGACATATACAAAAGGCTGCTTTCTCGTTTGTATTCTCATGAGTGAGTTCACGGACATGCATGATTGCTTCATTGGTCGTCCGTGAACTACTTTCTCTGAATCAAATTTTGTTTAACAACAATTTTTGTCTGTGCCAAGCTGGCTTTCTGACTCAATCACTACTCAAATCCTTTTATTTATTACTACTTTTTATGAGGCTAAATAATACAAAACCTAAAACTCAGGAGTCAGGACAAAGGTGCATCATGCTTTGATCTTGGAGTTTGGGGAGTTTGAATTCAAATCAAGAATAGAGTACATGTGTTTGGGTACGGTATCTGATTTGTTAAGAAACTTGGGAAACAAGCAAGCTATTGCTAAGTTTCTTGAAATACCAAATTTTAGGTTTCTATTTACCACATACTCCCTCATCTATTCTGTTCCTTAGCTTGAGTCTCTGAATCAAATACTTAGCCAGATATATTCGGACAGTATCGAGATTAGTAGTGATGGCCTTCTGTGATTGGAGGAAGCAACACGAGTCGCAGAGACCCAAGGCTTTAACTTTTCTTTTGTGGCAACAAAGTGTTGACTTACGTAAACATATGTTATTACATGTTGTTAAGTGTTAACACTACAAGGTCTCTCTTTCCACTTTCAGAGTTAACTTCATAACACACCTCAGAAGCCCAGCACGGGAGGCGAACAATTATTAAACTTTTCGGCCCAAATAAAAGCCCAAGTACCTAATGTATAACACTCTTTTATCCACTGGAAACCCTAGTTTTCCAGTTCTAAAAGCTTTGTGCCTCTTTTCACCTAAGAAAAAAGAAAGCTTTGTGCCTCTTTGCAGTGAAAGCTCTACCAGCAACAAGATGGTATTGACTGTGCTTAAATTTATTTTTACATTTTGTACGTTTTTTTTGTAAGGGAATGACTTATCCAAGTATGTACTGATTGTGTTCTTGTTCTTCCTGTTTTCAGATTATCACAGAGACCAACCGCAGAGAGATCTGCAAGTACCTTTTCAAAGGTTTGTACTTTTTTTCAGAACTAATACATTCGTTTATTTCAGCTTTTCTAGTTAGTGGAATCATGTTTAGTTACCATTTCTTAGAATTATTGATTTGTAGTTTGTAAAAGTTAAAATTTTGATAGGCTTATGCTTACTTTCAGCACCAACCAAGGATGTAGATTTGAATCTATTACATTGCTTATTGAGTAATATAAATGCTAGATCTAGTGAACCGTTGTTGTTTGTTCATAAATGTTTAAGTCATTGTTATGAGTTAACTGTTGGCTGTATTGTTGTCTTCTTTTTTGTGTGAATGATAAAATGATTTAATATCATATGGGTTTAACAGAAGGAGTATTGTTCGCCAAGAAAGATTTCAACCTCCCAAAGCATCCGTTGATTGAGTCAGTACCAAACCTGCAAGTGATCAAGCTCATGCAGAGTTTCAAATCCAAGGAGTACGTTAGGGAGACTTTCGCTTGGATGCATTACTATTGGTTTCTGACCAACGAAGGGATTGAGTTCTTGAGAACTTATCTTAACCTTCCTTCAGATGTTGTTCCCGCAACGTTGAAGAAGTCTGCTAAGCCTGTTGGTCGTCCCTTTGGTGGTCCACCTGGTGATCGCCCAAGGTAACTTATTTACACTATTTTGTTTTTTTATCTTAGTAATCTGACTGGTGTGAGAGATTGGCTGATTCTAGTTTGAAATGATAATGGTTTTGGTGTTTGTTTCAGAGGACCCCGCTTTGAGGGAGACCGTCCCAGATATGGTGACCGTGATGGCTACCGTGTAGGGCCACGTGGTGGTGATGCCGGTGGTGAAAAGGGTGGAGCTCCAGCTGATTACCAGCCGTCTTTCCAAGTAAATCTCTCCCTCTCTCACTTACCTAATAGCTTATTTTTACAGATTGTGTGGAGATATTTGTTTCTGACATTGCAATGTGTGTTATGTTGTACAGGGAAGTGGTGGTAGGCCTGGATTTGGCCGCGGTGCAGGCGGTTACAGCGCAGCAGCACCATCTGGTTCCGGTTTACCCTGAAAGAAGTCTTGTTTATCTTTAGGCGATTGAAAGACAAGTTTTGTTTTTGTTTTTTTGGCTTTAGTTTTGTTTGTGAGACGCAAATCCAGAATCTATCTATTTCTCTGACTTTTGTTCTGAGGAAACAAATCCTTTATTAGTTTCCACTTTCAAAGATTGTGTTAAACTCCCGTTTTTTTTTGTCTGTCATGGAGAATCCTTTGCTTTGTCGAAATGAGATATTAAAACGGATTACATTTTAAGAACAAAAGAAGACGAAGCATGTCTTTTTCTTAATTAATCAAATGTTTATTGGACACTAGTATATGTAGCCTTAGAGGTTATCTGGGTTTTAAATATGCAAGCGCCACGATTCACACAGCCAAAATTGTAAGCTTCTATCCCTTTAACTTATGTTAAGCTTTCTGATGAAAAGAAAGTAAAGACAAAACCGAAACACCAACTTCATTGATACAATCAAAGTTTGCAAATTCAGTTCCATATACGACCGAATAAAAAATGAATTCGGATCTAAAATAATTTAAAACAAAATTCATTAATTTGAAAGATTAATAATCAATTTAATCTAGACACATAAAACTCGAACAGAAAAAAAGTCCAAAAAAATTGTTTACAGAATGTATTTTTCTACTTTTTTTTTTGCAGTGAATATCCATCCATGAGGACCAAATCTGAATGTAATAATTAACCAAGAAAATACTCTTCCACCCACAACACACACAGACAACAAAGGTAGTAAGAATTTTTTACTTTTCTTACAAAGAGTCTGGTCAGAGGGCGCCGCTTAAATGGTATAAAATCAACAAAAAGAACTTAGAAATGGTGAGTGGCGGTCATTTCCATTCAGCCGTCAACGACGACTGAGAAACTTTGATGGCCACCAGATCCTCTTCCTCCTCCTCATCCTCTAATAAGAAGAGACACACCAACCGATCAATGCCTCACTCTCCTTCTTCTTCTCGCCGATTCTTCATTTCTCGGAGTAGGATCTCGATGATGGTTCCTCTCGCTCTCTTCTTCACCGTCGCCGTTTTTCTATTCTTTATGCCGTTCAACGGCTCGGGGAGATCATCTGATTCGTTTGATCTTTCGCATTCGATCCATGATATTGAAGTAGTGGCTGAGTTTCCTCATGATCCAAACGCCTTTACTCAGGTCTACTCTTGAATTGTGGAGGTTTAGTCATCTTGAATCTCAGTATATGAGGTGAATGTTTTGTGTATTCGTTTTGCAGGGGCTTTTGTATGCAGGAGATGATACATTGTTTGAATCCACTGGTCTTTACGGAAAGGTGATTCATTGACTCTGCAGCAGCAAGTCTTAGTCTTTACGAGATCATGTCTCTAGTCATAAATCTTTTACAGTGTGATGCACGGAGTTTGATCTATTTTGATGTTTTTTTTTTCCATTTGCAGTCTTCAGTCAGGAAAGTATCTCTTCGGACAGGAAAGGTATGGTTTTTGTCTTGTTGTTCGATGGGATTCATGTTGTAAAGGTGCTACGCATTTTGGACTGTTATTAACAAACATTGTTGTGAATTTTTTAAGAGTGTTGTGTCTAATTGTGATTGGGGAATGATAACTTAATTTCAGAAGAAAATGCAATTTATTGAATGCTGATTGAAATACACAGATGGATTTGAACCCTTTTTTTTTTGCTACTTGTGATTGATTAGCTGTGTTGACCAGCATTATGGAGTTCAATCTCATGAGCTTAAAACTTAGTTTTTGTTACTCCCTTGCTTTTAGGTTGAAGTGATCGAAAAAATGGGAGATAGGTACTTTGGAGAGGGTTTGACACTCCTTGGAGAAAGGTGAGCCTTATCCTTGCAAAAAAAAAAAAAAACTAGTTTGTGTAATTCAGAATGAAACTCTGCTGTTTCTAGGATCTAACATGTTCTGTTTATCTGTTATAGCCTATTTCAAGTTGCATGGTTGACGACCACTGGTTTCACATATGATCTTCGCAACTTAACCAAAGTTTGTACTCCTCTTTCCCTTCTCCTACTTATTTTGTTTGGTTTCGCAGCTATTAATCTAATCATCCAAGTCAGCATGCTTTCTATAGTTTTGTAGACTTGAAATTCAGCTTTATCTTTTCTTGAAATTAGAAGCAGTCTTTGTTATAGGCTTTGTTCCTTTACTTCTTGTAGTGTTGTTGTTAAGTTACCATATGCCTCTTTATGGACTAGCATTGCACTACTCTTTATGTTAATTATTTTATCTCGATGTAGGTAAAACCATTTAAACACCATATGAAAGATGGATGGGGTTTGGCTACCGATGGACAAGTATTGTTTGGAAGTGATGGTACTTCTACACTTTACCGGATGGATCCTCGAACAATGAAAGGTGTCTCACTTATACAGTTATAATCCATTTAAGTTTTATTATTTGCTTTTGTGTTCCTGAACCACTTATTCTCTGGAGAGTATATTTATGATTTTATGGTGTCCTTTTTTTGACAGTTACTGATAAGCATGTAATCAAATATAATGGCCGTGAGGTACGGTACCTTAATGAACTCGAGTACATAAACAATGAAGTTTGGGCGAACGTGTGGCAGGTAATTTCACTGTTTTTGATATTTGCATCTATTCATTGTGACATCCAAAAAGTGTTATTGTTACACGAAGTATTAGTACATTTATTGTTAAGCAAAGTTGTGTTATGATGCATGAAAGTGAAATCAAACTTGGTGCACTGAAGGCTGACGTGTATTTTTCTGTTGCAGTCTGACTGTATTGCTAGAATTTCACCCAAGGACGGATCGCTACTTGGATGGATACTTCTTCCCAAATTAAGGTCATTGTCTTTTCTAACTTGTCTGTGTTTAGGAAGAACCGTTGTGTCTGTGTAATACAACTGACCTCCTTCTTCTTTTTCACATATCCTTTCACAGACAAGGATTGCTGCAATCTGGACATGGGGTGAGTTGAGTATCTCTGAAGTTCACCAATTTTCTGTTTCTTTATAAGTCATCTTCAAAACTCTTTTCCACTTAACTGAATCTTGTCTTGCACTATAAGGGTATTGATGTCTTAAATGGTATAGCATGGGACAGCGACGAGAAGCGTCTCTTTGGTAAGAAAAATCTCGTCCAGTCCCCTTGCATGTAGTAACAAATCTCTTTGTAAGTCATATGACATTTTGAGTGTCGATGATTGTGTACTGCAGTAACGGGGAAACTGTGGCCGAAGCTGTACCAAATCAAGCTAAAACCGGCAGCAGCAAAGAGCGAAAGAGAAATCGCGCGACAATGCTTGGTATAAACACACACACAAATGGGTGATGGTTAGAATGTAAACTGTTGTAGCGAAAGGTTAAAAGGCTATACATACTCAATCTCAACATTTGCAGAGGAGGTGCATTTCATTAAGGGGGTCCATGACCCAAGTTGCATTTACTAGTTTTGTATCCTTTCTCAATTCCATTTTGGGGTCGGAAAATAAAAGTATTAAAAAGTAACAATACTATGAGAGAGTGATAACCAAAGAACAAAGATACTACGAGGAACTCTGTGAACCAATAAATTTTTGACAAGTAGAAAAGACCCATAGACGCTTAAGGACGGACATAAACACTCTCACAGTACCAGCCTCATAAATGGATGTAACTTGTTTGTTGTTGTGTTCCTTGGTTGGTTGTGGTCCTTGGTTGGTTGAGTTGGAACTTTTTGTGTGTTTGGTCTTTCCTTGCCATCGCTCTTTCTGTATTCTTACGTCTCCTGCCACGTCGTCCCTCATTTGTATCCTTGTATGTCTTCTCCAACATCTTATAATGATAATCATTATTAGACCTTCAGTTCTACAAATCATGTACTATTAATTGAAGTAAACACGGATTTAAATAATCTAACATGCAGCTCATGAGAGTTTTAGAAACTGAATGGAATGCTCAATATTTAGACATGATGATGTAGCCTCTTAAAAATACATATCGACAATGTTTAAGAAACAGTTATTTTTGGGGAATGAATCCAAACATGGAAACATAATCTATTTGATTAAAGCAATAAAACGGTTACAATATTTCAATACATGTACTCTTTATATTGGCTAACTAAATTTTGAGCAATGAATTATTATTGCGAATTAATATCTGAAAATTTAACAAAATGGTCAAAGACCACACCCTTTGCAAAGAGATTTTTTTTTTGTTTTCCGGAGAAAATGTAATTTTCATAAAATATAAGTGGGGTAGATTAGTCCGTTAGAAAGAAAAAAAAAATTAGAGGGCAAATTTCGTCACACGAAACTGAACCGTCCGTCACTAATATATTATTCTCCATATTTAACTTATTAATTCCAATACGTATTTTTCCTTTTTAAAGAGCCGAACAAAATCATCTTGGCCACAGAGCATTGTACACCACATCTCTCTCGCTTAAAAGGTCATACCATCACCAAAGTTGAGATAACTCTCTCCGAGCTTCTTCTTCTCCCCATGGCGGCAGGTCTCTCTACCGCCTTAACATTAAAACCACTCCACCGCGCTTCCTCCTTATCCTCCTCGAGTCTCCGCCTACACCACCAAGCATCCTTAACCGGATTCCCCTCGTCTCTCCTCCGGTTCAGAGGTTTATCCGTCTGCTACGTAGTCTCGGACCGGAGGCAGAGCTCTCCTATCGACAAAGATGACAGTCCTGATAGCACGGAGACAACCGCCATAGACGCGGAGTATCTCGCGTTGCGTTTGGCTGAGAAGCTGGAGAGGAAGAAATCGGAGAGGTTCACTTATCTGATAGCCGCAGTGATGTCGAGCTTCGGTATTACTTCTATGGCTATTATGGCTGTTTACTACAGATTCTCTTGGCAAATGGAGGTAATTCGTTTTTTTTTTCAAAAATTCCCGGTTTGTTTTTTTTTTTTGGTTCCGACAATTTTGAGATAGTGTTTTTTGGTTGTAATTAAAAAAAAAAACAGGGAGGTGAGATTCCAATGTTGGAGATGTTTGGTACATTTGCTCTCTCTGTTGGTGCTGCTGTAAGTCCACAAACAAATATCTCACAATTTTATCTTCTTTAAACACACAAATTTGGCTGAGTTTTGGAATGTTTAGGTGGGCATGGAGTTCTGGGCAAGATGGGCTCATAAAGCTCTATGGCACGCTTCTTTATGGAACATGCATGAGGTTTGCTTTGCCTTTTCAATTCTCATTTTTGAGTATTCAAAGTCAAGCTGCTTGTTAGACCATCTCCATTAGGAGTTTAAGAGGGGTTCAAGGGAGGGGTTCACACGGTTTACGAGACAAACAGTGATGAATCCGCTCCACTTGAGCTTGCTACGGTGATACTGGTTCATCACGGGTTCACCACGTGTCTAACCGTGATTCGCCGAATTTTTTTTTTTCTTTTTTTTTTTGAAAAAGTAAAAAAAAAAAAATGCCGGTGAACCCCAATGGGGGTTCACTAATGAGTAATGGAGATGCTCTTAGTTACTGCAATTTGATTCTTCTACTCTCTTTTGTACTTTATTTGCAGTCACATCACAAACCTAGAGAAGGTCCGTTTGAGTTAAACGATGTGTTCGCAATAATCAACGCTGTTCCTGCGATTGCTCTCCTCTCTTACGGTTTCTTCAATAAAGGACTCATCCCTGGCCTCTGCTTTGGCGCAGTAAGTACTCTCTCTCTCTACATATCAAAAGATTAAACGTCATTAGTCTTATACAATCCAACTTATAACGTCTTTGACTGTATGGTTAGAGTAAATAATTTTATATTAAGATTAAACAATTTCAGATATAGTCAGTATTTTAAAACAAAACGTATCTCTCTTCCAGTATCTTCTCTTTCTCTCTCTATTTGTATTATAATAGAGAAAGTTGGATTTTCGGTTCATGTGATGACAAATGACTCGTTGGCTCCATTAATACCATAAGATGGATTGGTGGTGTTTTTAACTTTTGTTTCCGCTCACATGTTAGCTGTTTTTGTCCTTCCTTGTAAACAGGGTTTAGGAATAACAGTGTTTGGAATCGCCTACATGTTTGTCCACGATGGTTTGGTGCACAAGCGCTTCCCTGTAGGTCCCATCGCCGACGTTCCTTATCTCCGAAAGGTCGCCGCCGCTCACCAGGTATACAAATCCCATTTGACTTGATCAGTCAACCGTCTTTATTGTAACGGTTTCTTTCCCAAAATAGAAAATGATTTCGTTAATTGTTTTCTTAATGACTAGTACTAGTACTAGCTTATTCTATTGTTTTATTTCTATCTGTTTTAGATTTTATTTAGATTTAGTCGGCGCGAAAAAAATAAAATATATACAGTATTCTGGAAAACAGTGGTAGCTTTGTTGTAATTGCTAATTATATAATTGATTTTAATTGTGTCGTTGTATGATTGTGTATTCAGCTGCATCACACAGACAAATTCGACGGTGTTCCCTATGGGCTCTTTCTTGGACCAAAGGCAAGTTTCTAAATTTGTTTTAAGATTCTTTAATTATTAGCTTTATGTTATACTCCTTCCGTTTCTTTTTATAAAATGTTTTAGAAGGTTTATGTTGTTTCAAAATATAAGATGTTTTGAGAATTTAAGTTATGTTTTGAACTTTTAAGGTTAACTTTAACTTTATTGGAAACTGTTCAACCAATAAAATTTTTCCGTCATTTTTATAATTGGTTGAATGATTTTAAAAGTATATCATTAAAAGTACTTTTGAATAAAAGGTAGATATATTAATCTCCGTGCAATCAACCAAAACATCTTATAAAAAGAAACAGAGGGAGTAGATTTTAATAATTTGACATTTAAATTGATGATATGCAGGAACTAGAAGAAGTTGGAGGAGATGAGGAGTTAGAGAAAGAGATAAGTCGGAGAATCAAACTGTACAAAAGGGGGTCCGGTTCCGAGTCGACATCTTGACTTTCAAACATGTTTTAAGTCATTTATTTTTTGTCTTTTGTCATATGATCTGAAATACGGTCTATGTTTATAAATCATATAAGCCGATTTTGATTTTAAATATTTTAAATAGAATCATGCTAATTATGATTAGTCTATGGTTTATATACCCTCGGTTATTTCGGAAGTCCCCCATTTGTTCTTTTTTTTTTGCAAATATTTTCTGCTGTTCTTATATAAACTATACAAAAACATGAGATGCTATATTCTTATAAGCATACCGATTAGACTGATATTTTTTAGATAAACCGATTCTCGTGATCTCCCATGGTGGTTCAATTAATCTGAACAGGTACAAGGCCATATGATGCATGACATTTAAATATATCATCAGAAAAAAAAAATGAACCGTATGTTTGGCTTATACAAGAAAATTTGTTGCTTATGCATGCAAGTTTGCAACCAACAAAATAAATTCATGACGTGAAAATCTTTTCATGAATATTATGGATTTCCTAGCTATACACACATATCAAATGACATCTACCAAAATTGATGTTTATTGATTTTTCTTCTTTGCGCAAGTCTGTTATCAAGCTTAGTATAGCCGGTTCTTCGCGCGATCTCGTGGAACGCCATAGTTGCGGGTAACGTCACACTTTTCAATTGTAAAAGTTCAAAAAAAAACGAAAAGTTGAAAAATCGGTTGGCATATGCAATCACTCAAATCTTTTTAATCAAGGTAAAAAAAGACATTTGGTAGTGAGTGGAACGTGTAAGATAGATGATGAAAAGGAGACCTAACTCAAAAATGAACATATGCTTTTTTTTTTTTTTTTTTTGATAAGTATGTGAATTTCATTGAAAATGAAGCTGGTTGTACATAAACAAAGAGTCAAGCGGTGAAGCTTTTTGTTGCCAAAAAAGAAATAAAAAACAACAAAAAGACTTATAAGTTGGAGACATAAAGAGCAGCTCCCAACAATTAACTATGCGTGCCTTAACCAAAGGCGCATCAGGTTCCTGAAGTTCTTCGCACCAAATGAACATATGCTTTAATAATATTAAGAATTAAATAGAACTGGGATGACTGTTTTATACTCCCAAAACTGAAGCTTTTATTAGTGAAGAGAACATGCAATTATAGGAGATCAATGTAAAGGCTCAAAAGTACGATCAGGTATACAAGTCTTATGAGATATCAGTACCAAGTAGTACCAACCCTACCCTACTGCTTCAACCTGTTCATTCAAAGCTACTGTTCAGTCAAAGCTTCATTAGTTATTCGTACAATAATTTGCTACAGCAAATATATATATCAATAGGTCACTACTATATGGTCCGCTCGAGCTCTATATACTACAATAAGTTTGGCGGGTGAGAACATAAAAAGGGAGATAACTGTTAAAGGTAAAAGTGATGGATACGTGTTACGTGTCTAGCTAGCCTGTCGGTTGTCCCATTATAGTTTTATAACTAACTCACTTTCCTTTCACTTGAGTGGATACATGATACATCACAACATTTCCTCATAATACTCACACCGATTCTAAGTGGAAGTTATTATTTACACTCCCACGACACTATCCAATCAAAGCACAAGAGATAAGGGAGGAAAATAAACCATTTGAGAGGATGAGGTTGCGTGGAAGCATATAATTAGATAATGACCCAAAAGTGCGATAGAAAAGTCGATGATAGCTTCTATTTGCACAAATAGGAAGTTACGTACGCTTTTGGCCAATTAAGAAGATACAGTATATAACCAATAGCGCACTAATGAATAGTCAATCCAAATACATGTGTATATATCACATTGTATTAGAAACTTTCTCTGTTGCAAGTCCTTAATGTTCATTCGTCGACGACAGGGCCGGTCCAACTTTATAAAAAAACTTGTAATGCCCTACTCTAAATTATAAATTTATGCCCCTGTTCTTCATAAAATTTTTTTTATAGTGCTTCATATACATATAAAATTGTTGTACAAAATCGAGGTGCCCTAAGTGGTCGGTTCCTTTGCCTATGCTCCGGATCGGGCCTGGTCGACGATTGTGGCCATTCCACCGAGCAAAATACGATTATATTTTTTTTATAAAACATAACCAACATGACGAGTATGTGACATTCCCATTACGAAGATAATATTAAAAAGAAATTCACGCGTTTTGCAGTGTCCATTTTCCAATCGACAACAATTGAAACAAGGTGTCCTATTTTGCTACGTGTCTTAATTAGCCACACTGAAGTTTGGAATCCACTCAAATTCTAATAAAAAGTTTAAATGAGTCATCAGTAGTATGTACGTGTTATGGATGAAACCAAAGAAGACAATACTTTGTGACGTTTCTTGCTGTTCTTGTTTGCAGATGAAGCATAATTTAAAATCATGGTTTCTTGTACTTAGGAATTTTTTTTTTTTCTTTTTGGATAAAAAACAAAGGAATTCTTTGAAGATGATTAGGCTAATGATCTAGGAGAGGATGGATTCAAATCCTTTTCGAATTCAACATCAATAATGAACGTCAAGCTTTAAATTGCCTATTGACAAGAGACAAGCTCATATGTTGGATCCATGATTCAAGGCCCAAAAGGCTTTACATTCTAAACGGCTCCACACAAGGGATGTCCATTTATTCATGATACCCACTATAACTCGCACAAGAACTCAAAATATTGTATTGTAGAATATTAAGGAAGAAAACTTAAAATATTGGACCGGGTGTTACTTACCGATTAAAACGTGGTCTTATGATCATCCATCTTGGAGGAAATGTTTGCTGTCGAAATCGAAATCTCAGCCGTTGGAACGAAACTCAACATGAAATCTAACGGATGTAAGTAGCTCTATCACGTGGAAAGCACAATCCACACACGATGTTGCTCCGAAGCCAAGTCCAAATTGGAAACTGTAACTAGAAGGTCCAGAATAGCGTGTAGACATTATTCCCCACGTGGCCTAATCTTATTGGATAGTTACAAGAAGGTCGACGTTTCTTGTCTGTTGTTTGATCTCTGTACTCTCTCTCTCTCTTTGTCTAATATCTATATCTCTTATTACTCTTCTTTTTTTTTTCTGGATCCAGATAACAAAGTAACCTTTATATCTCTCTCTGTGTGTTATTCCGATTGTTTTGAGAAGATTCCATTTGCCGCTTCTATGCCAACTTGTAGAGGTTTGGATCGTTAGACTTTCTATCTGGTTCCGTTTTATCTTTTCATAAAAAGTCTTTGTATATTGTGCGGAAACTTTAATTGTGCGATTGAATTTTGATTGATCAACATTAGGCTGATCTGATTGCTTTGTAATAGTTTTATATCCATTACTAGTCTAATTGCTTTTTTTTGGTTTTCTAAGGGTTTAGGATGGTTATTATGTGAATTTTGAGGTGTAATTGATCTTTGTGTATCCTCAGATGTTTATATGAGTTGTTGAGTTTTTGGTGGCAATTCAGGATTTCAATATTCGTAGAAAAAAACGATCAGGCTCTAGTTTGTGTCATGTATGATTTTTTATCTTGTGTTATTGATATAAATTCTTTGTTTCACTTTCATATGATTTGGTGTCCTCTTTGATTCCTTACAATAACTATTGCTTGTAGTAACTCAATCATGTTTGCTCTTTGCGTCTTCTCTCCGTGGTTGGTGAAAACTTAAGTGGCATGTTTTGCATCTACAGCTCTTCTTAGCTTCTTATAACTGCTCTTGTTGTGGCCTTAAACTATGCGTCTTAAGTCTATGCTCTTACTTTTTAAGGTTGATTATGTTATAAAACTAATCAAGTAGTAACTGTCAAATGCAGAAAATGGGAGAGTCTAAGGGGTACGAGAAAGGAAGTGACAAGTCTGCAAATTCGTACAACGTCTCCCTTCAGTTGTCTCCAGTTGTTTCTTTTTGGGATTGTATTGTTCGCACCATGAGGTATTCCTATATACCCGAGTGGGTGTAGTGCAACGACGTTTTAGTTCAGTTATTTTTAGTTTTAATTAGAGTTATAGATATAGCAAATTATGGATCATGCGGTTTGCAAGCAAGTTCAGGCAGTAGCTAATAAAGGGAAGAACAAGAAACATAATGGTAAAGATGAATTTGATCGTGTCAAACAAGCTGAGAAGAAAAAGAGACGTCTCGAGAAAGCTCTTGCTACCTCTGCAGCCATTCGAGCTCAGCTTGAGAAGAAGAAGCAGAAGAAACTTGAAGAACAGGAGAGGTTAGATGAAGAAGGTGCTGCTATTGCAGAAGCTGCTGCACTGCACGTCCTACTCGGGGAAGATTCTGACGAGGATTTCGTCCTTGGAGAGGGAAATTGTTACAAGATTGATATGTTTAGAAGTGAAAGAACCAACTATGTTCCAAGGCAAAGTTGTGCCAGCTATGGGGTTCAAGGGATTGGGTTTGACTCAAACGTTTATGGACGTGGAGATAGTAACTGGTCTGTACCATATAAGCCATTCCTGAGTGGTGCTTGGGACAACAACATGGGAGTATCTGTGGACTTGATTGCTGGTCAAGTGGTCTCATCGCTGCATCTATCCGAGAACGATGATAGGAACGCTTTTGTCCTCAAAAAGATGTTCCTGGGATGACAATTGGCCCTTTTGTGAGAAGCCTTCTTGGTGTAAAAAAACTCATTGTTGTTTTCTTTCTTTTGATGTTATCGTTCTGCTTTCATGTCGTTTAACATTGCAAAGTGCGTTCTGAGTTGTATACAGAATTACAATTTTAATGTCATACGTCACTTGCATCTACTTATATCACATTTTCTTAAGGCTACAATGGTATCTTTCTTATCAAAATCACACTTTTTGCTGAAATAAATAAAAGATCCAGTGATGGTACAACAAAGGTAAATGGATACAGATGCGGAGTACAAGTGAGTGTGAGTTTTCGACCAATGGATTTACAGTTAACCAAATGCACTATGGTGGAGTGGTGCAGAGTCAAGGCTCTGTTTTTTCTGCTGATTGGGAATTGTATGATTTGCATCTTCATCTTTGTTCTCTATCTCTGTACTTGAAGAGGGTTTGGAAGTGTTAAGTAGTCCTTTGAACCAACTACCTTGCAACCTCGAGTTCCCATTCTCTGAACTGTTGAGTGTTCCAGGTCGTTGTTGAGAGCCATTGGAGCCGTTGGTTACGTTGGATGTAACGTTCGAAAGGAAGCGATAAGCTACTTTACTAGCTGATACTAGTTCAGTTTTGGCTTGCTTTATCTGCAAAATCCCAATTCACAAGATTAAACACCCATGCAATAGCACTTCGGTTGCAGAGAAGTTAAAAAAGAGAACGAACCCTCATCGCTGTGTTTCCTGCAACTTCCAAGGCCGTGTCACCAGCATGGGCAAAGCGATTCACCCAACCTGTTAAAGAGACACCAGCCAAACAGTCACATAAGCCTTCAAGACCAACACACACACGCTGGTTCTCAATATACTGCTTCACAAAATAATGGGGGTTTTTACCTGGGAGCTTGGGCACGCCAAGTACCTCACAGAGAACATCACAGAAGTGATTGCAATTTTTGGACAAGAGATCATATGACTGTCCAGGCCATTCCTTGCTGAGCTCACGCAATATCTGATCCACCATGTAAGTGCTGCAAGCTGTCCTCCCAAGGACGATTTTCTCACGATAAGTATACATAGGGTTCTTGCTGCTAGGACAGCTGAACACACCAGTGCCTTGTTCACAGAACCCATAAGACCATTCCTCATCCCCATATACCTGCACAAGAGATGCGAGTCAAATCATGCTTTCCAACGAATCTAAACCCATCTATAAAAGGTACAATAAAGTAACAAAAACCACAAACAAGACAAGAGCAAATGTTATTTTGTTATATACACAAGTACAGAGGTAAGTCAATTAAAAGTATTAGCACTAACATGGAAACAAAAAGTCAAGGGCTTGAAGTCTCGTTGGCCAAGTCAAAGATGAATCAAGTAAAAGTGAGGCATCATTGAAGTTTGACAAAGTCTCCAAAGAGAAAGTTTATAAATTTACTAGTAAACAAACAAACAAACAAGATCGGCCCTTAGTGGAAAAGCTGAAAAAGGAAACTTCAAACTTCAGATCTTATAGAGACATGTAAAAAGACCATAACCTATATAAAGTATCCAACTTTATAGTAAAGTAGACACGAAGATGGAGTTACTACCTGAATGGCGCTGTGGAATATACCGCCTAGGCCAATACCGTCTTTGAAGAACCTGTTGATCTGGAGGATGGTATTGTTAGTCTTCTCCGATCCACTGTTGGTCACATCGTATATGTGTAGGACAACAACCTGTGCCATGATTATACTCCCTCTCTCACTATCAGATAAACCTCGAACCCTAAAAAGAGTTCAAAGTGCAAAGCTTCGCTGGAGATACCAAACCCCACTTACTTTCAACAAATCCCACTACCAAGATCTCTTCAAAATTACTGTAAAAAAAAGCAAAAAGTAGTTTTGTTTTTTCTTCTTCTCAAGGCTTCTCCATTTCAGAACGTTAGGCGATGAAGATGAAGAATCTGTGTGCGGCGGTGGTGGTGGTGGGAATGTCTCTTTTACCCTCGCTTTTCCTTCTTTTTTTGCTACTTTACTTGCTGCTTCAGCAACCGACGTGGTTTACGTTACTCAATCGGGTTAGTTCATAACCGGGTTCTTTTGTAACCGTAATAATAATCTCAGCCGTTAAAATGGACTAAACTTAATATCGAAACTAACTAACGGCTGTTAATAAGCTATAGACACGAAATGCTGGGTCCCATGGCACCGGCCAAGTCTAATAAAAGTCCCAATTGAAAACTTACACTGCAAAGAAAGTCAATTAGATAATTCCGACGCGTGGCGTAGTTTAATTGGGTCAAATAGAGACGGCTACGTTTTGTTCTTTGTCCTATCCTCTCTCTCACCTTCTCCTTCCTTCTTCTTCTTTCTTCTTCGTCTCTTTTTATAATACGATCAAATATCTCCTCTCTTCCTTTTCTCTCTACATCTATTATACACAGCAACTTTACTTCCGTGTTTTAGTCTCCCTCCCTCTGTATAATCCGATTTGGAGAATTCTTTTAGGCAAAGCTGCTTCTATGCCATATTGTAGAGGTTTGGATCGGGATTTCATTGCTCCACTTTCTTAATTTCGATAAGCTTCATCTGATTATCTGAATTTATGTGCTCAATCCTAATTAATTCGATTGAATCCAATTGTTTTATGTCGTGATCCTGCTAAATTGAGGTCAAATTTTGATACGGCTTGAGTTCTTTGAGGCAGATCTGGTGTGTTATGATTGTTGCTTTTTTGTGTGATTTGATCCATTAGTGTAGATTACGCTTCGTGAGGATTAAGAAAGGTTTCGTTAAGTTTGCCGTGGAATTGACTCTTTCTTGTGGATCCCCTTTGTTATTACTCAATTAGGGTCTTCTTTGAGCAATTAGGGTTTTATTAATCATCTATATTATCAAGTTTCAGTTTTTCTGAAGCATCATACTTGACTCTTGTTGACTGAGACTGTCAATTCTATATAAAATCGTTAGAAGGATTTTTTACTTATTCAGGACTATTGTGTTGTTACTCAAAATCATGTCATGTGGTTTTTGTTGGTGAAGTTTTGTTAGCTTGTACAACAAGGTTGAATGCTATCTTTATTGGCTTGAAGCTATTTTTTTTATAAAGATTATTAAGGTTTACTGGTTTATGTGTTATTCCTTTGCAGCTTTTAAAAACTAATAAAGAAGTGATTTTCGAATGCAGAAAATGGGAGAGTCTAAGGGGTATGGGAAAGGAGGACGAGTGATTCCAAATGCTAAGTCTGCAAATTCTTACAACGTTTCTCTTCAGCTGTCTCCAGTTGTTTCTTTTTGGGATTGTATTGTTCGCACCATGAGGTATTCCTATATACCCGAGTGGGTGTAGTACTAGTTCTCGACATCCTTCCACCACAAGCAGCGACGTTTTAGTTCAGTTATTTTTAGTTTTTTAAGAGTTAATAGATAATATATACATAAAGAGTAAGCAAGTATGGATCATGCGGTGTGCAAGCCAGTAGCTAGGAAAGGGAAGAACAAGAAACATAATGGTAAAGAGGAATTCGATCGCGTCAAACAAGCTGAGAAGAAAAAGAGACGTCTCGAGAAAGCTCTTGCTACCTCTGCAGCCATTCGAGCTCAGCTGGAGAAGAAGAAGCAGAAGAAACTTGAAGAACAGGAGAGGTTAGATGAAGAAGGAGCTGCAATTGCTGAAGCTGTTGCGCTGCACGTCCTACTGGGCGAAGATTCTGATGATTCATCTCCGGTCATGCGTGGCCAAGAAAAGGGTTTCAAGATGGATCTGTTTAGAGGTGAAAACTATGTTCCTCGCCAGAGCTGCGCTAGCTATTCGGTTCAAGGGATTGGGTTTGTGTCAAACGGTTATGGACTAGGAGACAGTAACTGGTCACCATTCATGAGGGAGTCTTGTGATAATAACAACAACATGGGAATATCAGCTGATTTGATTGCGGCTCAGGCTGTCTCATCGTTAAGGATATCTGAAAACACTGACAGGAATGCCTTTGTGCTTAAGGGGATGTTCCCGGGATGAAAAAAAAATGCCATGATTCTAGATTTGATTTGCTAAATTCAGCTTTTATGGTATAAGTACGAATAAATGCTTGTTGATTTCGGTGTGAGATTTGCTGTATTGTTTTTTTTTTTTTTGTCATTAAACGCTAGATTTAGACTCTGTTTTCTTTCCTTCCCTGCAATATTATGGACGCATTGCGAGTTGTAATCATTATACATGTTGAAATCTCTTCTTCATATCTGTGTTTGCAGATATATCCTTAATGAAAACTTTGAACGATATAGATGCTTAGACTTGCTTGGTTACTTGCTATTAACATGTTGAAAATATATCCCTTACCAGAAATTACACGGTCTGCTGAAAGATAAATAATGATAAGAGAGATATGTGTGTTCCAATGGTGTGATGCAAAGCAATGGTAGCTTTTGGACCAAGTGGATATACAATTAACCAAATGAATGCATTATGGTGGATTACGGTTGTTGCTGAAACAGTTTAGCCTCAGAGTCATGGCTTTGTTTTTTCTCCTGATTTGCATCTTCATCTTTGTTCTCTATCTCTGTGCTTGTGGAAGGTTTCGAAGTGTTTAGCATCCCTTTGAGCCAAGCGCCTTGCATTCTCAAGTTCCCATTGTCTGAACTGTTGACGGTTCCAGGCTGTTGTGGAGAGCCATTGGTTACGTTTGAGGTAACACTTGAAAGGAAGCGATATGCCACTTTACTAGCTGATAAAAGTTCAGTTTTGGCTTGCTTTAACTGCAAAACCCCATCTCCCAAGATTAAACACACACACACACACACACAATGATACCATTTACGTCAAAGAGAAGCAAAACTGAGAGAGAACACACCCGCATTGCTGTGGTTTCTGCTACTTCCAAGGCTGTGTCGCCAGCATGTGCAAAACGATTCACCCAACCTGTTAAGACAGAGAGAGACACAACCCGAACAATCAAATAAGCTTTCAAGACCAAAACACATATACACAATATCGGATTAACTGGCTTTTACCTGGGAGCTTGGGCACACCAAGCCTTTCACAAAGTACATCACAGAAGTGGTTGCAGTTTTTGGACAAGAGATCATAAGTGTGTCCTGGCCATTCCCTGGTGAGCTCACGGAATATCTGATTAACCATAAAGATGGTGCAGTCCGTCTTGCCAAGAACAATTTTCTCACGATAAGTGTACATTGGGTTCTTGCTGCTAGGACATCTGAAAACACCAGTGCCTTGTTCACAATACCCATAAGACCATTCATCATCCCCATATACCTTGCAAGAAGAAAATTCATTAAATTGAGTTACATATACAAGACTAAGACGTAGAATCATTCAAATAGTAACATGGAAACCTAAAGTCAAAAACGCTAGTGATATTTGAAATTATTTTTTGCCAAGGTCAAAGATCAAGCAAGTAAACGTGAGGCCATCATTGATGAAGGCAAGTCTCCAGCAAACATGAAACAGGGCCTCACAGATCAATAAACAAAAAATTCTGTGAAATTCTTGATCACAAATGGTATGCACATGAATGCGTCTAATTGAATGTTCTCCATACATACCATACAAACAAACAAAATCCACTTATTAACACATAAATAACCAAAAGAAGAGACATCCATCAATACCTGAATGGCGCTGTGGAAAATGCCGCCTAGACCGATGCCGTCTTTGAAGATCCTGTTGATCTGAAGGATGGTGCTATTAGTCTTTTCCGATCCAGTGTTGGTCACGTCGTATATGTGCACAACAACCTCCGCCATGATCACTCCCTAACAAATCTATGAATAGCTTTTGTGAAGAAGGAAATGCAATGTCTTTGTACCAATCCCACTATTCGTAAATGAATGTATAAAACAACTCTTTCTTCTTTATTAGATTTTTGATCTCAAGAGGGAAACTGAGGTTTGTTTGTGTCTAATCGTCTATTCTCAGTTCAAACGTGGGAGATGAAGAGAACTTGATCATGCGTGTGTGGTGGGGATCCTGAGAAATGACCATCGTGCCCTCACGTTTCTCAACGATATGCTCTCTGCCTTACTTGTTGTTAGAGCAAGCGACATCGTTTTCAACACTCAAACCGACACTTTCTCTCTTCCGGTTAACCGTTTCAGTTTTATGCTCTTGTACATTTGATGCTTTTTTAGAAATTGGGGATGATGCCATGCAAATGCTTAAATTTCGTATAGACTAACCCAAAAATATCAAAAACCATTAAGACAAACAAAAAAAAAATCATTAAGACAAAGATAGTTTCAGACAATCTGATAATATACCAGACATGGTTTACTTCCATTCAAGCCACCACTACCACACCGGACAAATATCACATGAAATCTGAGCCGTGATTAAAGGAGGATCCAGTCAACGATTAATCACAACCGTTAGATTAAAATTATCAACACGCAAAATAAAAACAAAAATAAACTCCTCTAGTTTCCCTCTCCCGTTGTCACCACAACCACACACACCACCATGGAAGCTGCTCTCGCAACATGCACTCTTCCACCATCTCCCAGAATCCTCAAACCAAAACCTCGATTCCGATGCTCCCTCTCCAACCCCAAACCCATCTCCTTAAACTCCCTCATCTTCAAATCCCCACCGTCAAAATCCAATCTTTTCACAACCGCAGTAACATCATCATCACCAACCGTCACGACAACGAACTCCCCACCCGAATCCGAACCCGGATCCGATTCATCATCGGAAAAATTCGACTGGTACGCTAACTGGTACCCGGTGATGCCACTCTGCGATCTCGACAAGAAGGTCCCACACGGGAAGAAAATCATGGGGATTGATGTGGTGGTTTGGTGGGACAGGAACGAGAGTCAGTGGAAAGTGATGGACGACACGTGTCCTCATCGTCTTGCTCCCTTGTCTGATGGGAGGATTGATCAGTGGGGGAGGTTGCAGTGTGTTTATCATGGTTGGTGTTTCAACGGTTCCGGTGATTGTAAGCTTATTCCTCAAGCTCCTCCTGATGGTCCTCCGGTAAGATTGGAACATTAAAGTTAAATGTCTTTTTTTTTTTGGTCGGAAGAAACATAAAGTCAAAGCCTTTTATTGTGTTTTGGTCTTATCAATGATTGTCTTGATTGTTGTGAGAGCTTGTGTAGCTGTTTAACCCAAGTTAAAGTCGTTTTTTTTTTGGTCGGAAGAAACATGAAGTCAGAGTCTTTTTTTTGTGTGTGTGTGTTTTGGTCTGATTAGTGATTTGTGTTTTGATTAGGTGCATACTTTCAAGCAAGCTTGTGTAGCTGTTTACCCAAGTGTAGTGCAGCATGAGATTCTTTGGTTTTGGCCTAACAGTGATCCCAAATATAAGGATGTTCTTGAGACCAACAAGCCTCCTTACATTCCTGAGTTGGAAGATCCATCGTTCACTAAGCTCATGGCAAATCGTGATATTCCCTATGGGTTTGTTATTACCAAACTCTCTATCTATCTCTCCCTTCTTTGATTATAGAATGCTTCTTCTTCTGTTTCTGTCTTCTTTTCACTTTGAAAGGGTTTAGTCTTTGTTGAGTGTGTGTAACGCTTTGGTAAATATGAATTCTTTTCAGGTACGATGTCTTGTTGGAGAACCTCATGGACCCGGCTCATGTTCCCTATGCACATTATGGACTAATGCGTATTGGTAAACCAAAAGGTAAATGATGAATTTGCATTTTTAAACATTTTTACATGACATGTTTTAGATCCATTTTACCAACCTTCTTGCTTTCTTTACAGAGAAGGTTGACAGAGAAGGAGGGAAACCACTCGAAATCACCGTGAGAAGGCTAGACAAGGAAGGGTTCTTTGCAAGACAAGAATGGGGTTATGCTAATTTTATAGCACCATGTGTGTATCGATCTTCCACAGAGCCTCTAAGTGAACAGGACAGGGATTCTGTCACACCATCTGCTGCATCTGAAAAGGTCAAGACAAGAACTAACTTTCTACTTGGATTGTCTTATTTATATTCACATCTTTTATCTCCCTAACCGTATTGTTCTGCATCCAGGCGCCATTGGGGAAGCGCAAATTGTCATTGATCTTTATATGCATTCCGGTCAGCCCCGGTCGCAGTAGACTAATATGGACGTTCCCTAGAGATTTTGGCGTAACTATTGATAAGATTGTTCCTAGATGGATGTTCCACATTGGTCAAAACACGATTCTAGACTCAGACTTGCACCTCCTTCATGTCGAGGTACTATTCCAAGTCCACACATTTTTTTTTTGTGTAGTGGAGGCTGATCAAATGTAATGGGATATGTGCAGGAGAGGAAGATACTTGAAAGGGGTCCTGAAAACTGGCAGAAAGCTTGCTTCATCCCAACTAAATCAGACGCTCTTGTGGTTACATTCAGGAGATGGTTGAACAAGTACAGTGGAGCTAAAGTTGATTGGAAAGGAAAGTTTGATCCGTCTCTTCTTCCTCCAACGCCTCCTCGAGAACAGCTCTTTGACAGGTTACTTACTTACTAACATCTTCTCTCTATCTTTGTCTTGTAACTTAAAACTGAAGAGTTTTGTGTTTTCTTTTCTACGTGTAAGGTATCGGTCGCATGTGGAGAACTGTAGCAGCTGCAAGAAAGCTCACAAGTTTCTCAACGCGTTTGAGGTGATCTTACAAATCGCATCGGTTGCTTTGATTGGAGTTATGGCCGTGACGAAGCAAATTGCAATATCTAACGTGGCTAGAAGCGTGTTGGTTGTGGCGGCAGTGTTGAGTTTTGCGGCTTCGAAGTGGCTATCACACTTCATCTACAAGACATTCCATTACCATGACTATAACCATGCTCTTGTTTGAAATGGGATAGTGATGTGTGTACATAACACTTTATACATTCATGAATCCATCATTAACATTTATACAGGATACATTTATTTAAGCTGTTTACGAGTCTGTTCAACACTTCTACTTAAACGTAAACATGTTATCAAATCTTCTTAATGGTTGTGTTACCAGTTTCTGAGATTTAATTCTACACAATTGTTACATCCTCTGATGTGAAAACATCTGATAGATCTCCCTTTGATGAACTGGGTGTATTCCTTTAATTTTTATGCATTAAAAATAAAATAAGTCGATGGCAAATCTTAATTGTCATCATCATATCTCTTGTTTTAATGAGAGAGATTTGAAATTATAGTCGATAAATACAATGACGACAAAGAACGAAAAGAAAAACTTGGCCACGGGACGAAAAAGAATTACTTGTCCGACTCTTCTTCCTGTATTATTGCTTCGCTACGTAACTCACTTTATGGCTTCTAGAAAGCTTTGTAAATTCACTAGAAAGGCATCATCTATTTTTAGAAACGACGACTTTCTCCTTTTGGTACCTAATTTCAACTTTGATTCCAGCTTGGGTGGAATAAGCAATTTTTCTAAATCACATACTTCTCTCATATTAAAACAACAGAAACACCCTTTTGGACCTAATTATTATTTTGTAAAATTTTAATTTAATACACTTTTATTTTATGTTATCTATGAAAAATAACATTACACTACTAAATATGTTTCTAAACTACATAATATTTAATTTTGTGTCAAGAAAATATAGCATATTAAATCAATCTTTTAATAACTTTTTTAAACCTAAAACATAATTTCATTTAATAGGAAATAATTAATTTAATAGGTTATTTTATTCTATTTTCATAAGCAAAGAATTGCAGTTATTAATATTTTTTAAAAAAATCAAGTTAAACTAGATATCGTATATAAGTAAAATGTTAGAGGCAACAAACTGACATCAAAACATTTTAATAACTAATAATTTAGCAGAAATATATATCACGCAGTTAATCAAAAAAAAAAAAACCTCTAATGCCATGTGTGTTCCCATAAATAATTTAATCTTCTAAAAATAATTACAATTTAGTTGTATAATTACATAATGCCAGATACTAGTGGATGGAGTTGCTCTTAACCGATAAATAAAGGGGAAAAGCATTAAAGTGAGCTCTGTTTTTAGATTTGTTTTGGATGCTTGGAACATTTTTATTATTGGTTTTGATATGTCAACGTGGTCTCTCATGCAGCACCGGTTAGCCTAACCAAACCTTATCTACCATCCCTCATATGTTAACAAAACTACTTCAAACAAAATAGGCTAAACACAATGCATCCAAATCCAATTAATTAACACATTTTAAATTTCCAAAAATGTGATAGTTGTCCATATAAGCGAGTTCACAGTTGTGAACTCATTCATGCATGGTTTTACTTACTGGAGTATCTCGTAAGTATTTTAAAATTTCAATCCGGATTACACCAGGATAGTATTATTATTTATTACGTAGTAGTTAGCAGAATATGATATTTTGATTAGTAAAGGTGGGAGAGAGAAGCGTGTGATTCAACGGGCTTTGTTATAGTGTATATATATAAACTAACCCCATAATACGCAACCAACGTTGACTTAGAGAGAGAGAGAGAGAGAGAAGCGAGTGAGTTTTTGAGACTCGGAGGAGATGGATCCTACGACGCCGTTTCTTCCCCACGGTGGCGAGGTGGAGGATTACGCTCCGGCGAGAACGTGGAGCGATGTGAAGCGAGTTTTGTGTACGGAGTCGGCGAAAATGTGGTTGATCGCTGCTCCTATTGGCTTCAACGTCATCTGCCAGTATGGTGTCAGCTCCATAACCAACATCTTCGTCGGCCACATCGGCGAGGTCGAGCTCTCCGCCGTATCAATCTCTCTCTCCGTCATCGGCACCTTCTCCTTCGGCTTTCTGGTACTTAGTCTCCTTTTAGCTCCTTGATTTTCTCTTTGTACATTATTATATTTCACATGTGAAATCTAGAGTCGGGATTGTTCCGGACCTTGTGGTCGAGTGGTAGAAGAAGGCCTTGAGACCCCAGGACGAAATTAAGTTATATTGTTCATGAACACTATACGGATTAAGCTCATGGACTGCACCTCGTATGGGCCCTTAGGCCCGGGATAACCGAAAACAAAAATAAAAACCGAGACGGTTATTGTGAAATGGAATCTCTGTCTGAATTACACCTTAGAAGGGCCGGTCATGAGATTTTGGGATATAAATAATTTAGTAAAAAATTAGATAAAAATTTGTTTACACATTTAGAGGCCTATAATATATATAAAGATTGTGTAAATAGAACTGTTTGAGTTTAAGTAATTGTCGGGGTTTGAAAATGTGCAGCTTGGCATGGGAAGTGCACTTGAAACACTCTGTGGTCAAGCATTTGGAGCAGGTCAAGTCCACATGTTAGGCGTTTATATGCAGAGATCTTGGATCATCCTGTTCGTTTCCTGCGTCTGCCTCCTTCCTATTTACTTCTTTGCCACTCCCGTTCTGAGACTTCTCGGTCAAGCAGAGGAGATAGCCGTTCCAGCTGGACAGTTCACTCTCCTCACCATCCCTCAACTCTTCTCTCTCGCTTTCAACTTCCCCACATCCAAGTTTCTTCAAGCGCAGAGCAAAGTAACTGTCATTGCTGGGATTGGTTTCATTGCTCTTCTCCTACACGTTGGTATACTGTGGATTTTTATCATCGTGTTTGGTTGGGGAACAAACGGTGCTGCTTTGGCTTTTAATATCACAAACTGGGGAATTACAATCTCTCAGATCGTTTATGTGATTGGTTGGTGTAACGAAGGATGGAATGGTTTGTCTTGGTTGGCTTTTAATGAGATTTGGGGTTTTGTTAGACTCTCCATTGCATCTGCTGTTATGCTTTGTCTTGAAATTTGGTATATGATGAGTATCATCGTCCTTACTGGTCACCTTGACAACGCTGTTATCGCTGTTGATTCCCTTTCTATATGGTGAGTTTCAGGTCTTGGAATGCGTGTTATATCTACTCTTTTGACATTTCTCACTCGTTTGTGTTTTTTTTATACGTTTCAGCATGAATGTCAATGGCCTGGAGGCAATGTTGTTCATTGGAATAAACGCAGCTATAAGGTACATAACATTTGAAAAAAAAAACTGTCTATGTATAAACTTTCATGTGTTTGCTTTTGTACTTTATTTAGTGTACGCGTCTCCAATGAGCTTGGCTTAGGACGTCCACGAGCAGCGAAATACTCTGTCTATGTAACGGTGTTCGAGTCTCTCCTCATTGGTCTTGTCTTTATGGTGGCTATCATTATAGCCAGAGACCATTTTGCTATCATCTTCACAAGCAGCAAAGTACTTCAAAAGGCAGTGTCTAAGCTAGCTTATCTTCTTGGTATAACCATGGTTCTAAACAGCGTGCAACCAGTTATTTCAGGTAAACAAAATATATCTCTTTAATCAAAAACAAAACATAGCTATCATCACATCATAACCGTCTCCTGGTTTGTTTAGGTGTGGCTATTGGAGGTGGTTGGCAAGGCTTAGTGGCTTATATAAACTTGGGTTGTTACTACATTTTTGGCCTTCCCTTTGGGTATCTTCTTGGTTACCAAGCAAACTTGGGAGTAATGGTAAGTGAATATGTAGAACGACATGAATAAATAGTAGCCAGCTTAAATCTAGTGAAATTTTGATGTAGTTTATAAAAATAATGTTTTCAGGGACTTTGGTCTGGAATGATAGCAGGAACAGCGCTTCAAACTTTGTTACTGATATTTGTTCTGTACAAGACAAACTGGAATAAAGAGGTAAGAACCTAACCAAGACACAAAACCATAACCTATATAACATTGAGATCGATTGAAAGCACCATAAATTTATGTAATGAAAACTGTGATGAAACAGGTGGAGGAGACGATTGAACGTATGAAGAAATGGGGAGGGAGTGAAACAACATCAAAGGAAGTAATTGCGTGATTATTGGGTTTCTTTTGTGTTTAGGCTTTTTTCATTGTTGTTTGTATTGCTACTAGCCAGTAACTATTTTAGGCTGTTGGAAAATTATTCAATCAGTCATGTAACAACTGTGCTTTTGTTACTTTCTTCTAAAAGTGCAATGTAACATACCAAATGTCACATGTACATTTGGTCGTGTGACTTCAAAATTATTAAGCCTACTTGTTTCATTTTCACACGAATCAAGCGACCATGTACTGATTTATACTCACAAATTGTACTTCCAAATAAAAGGTTTAACGAAAATTTGTTGTAGAGAGTAAATGAGGAGATTTATATACATAGACAACTAACTTGTTGGAGGAGTAGCAACAAGAAGTCAGGATGGCCGAGTGGTCTAAGGCGCCAGACTCAAGTTCTGGTCTTCGAAAGAGGGCGTGGGTTCAAATCCCACTTCTGACATTTTTATTGATATAAAATCTGGCATTAAGTGCTGTTTTGAACGTATCCTTCTCTCTTTTTTGTTTATCAACTCTCAGTGACTCATTAAAATATGATTAGAGAGCTGGATTCACGTTAATGCTTTTGCCAATATTTTTTTTTATCTGACCAGTGACATTCATTCATCCACACGAGGATGAATGCAGTGTTTAACATTTCAAACTATGGTCAACAAAAAAAACAGAAGCAAAATCTGGTTGGAGATTTTATGTGTTCGAACCAGGTGCGCTTGTGGTTGTGCATTCAGATTCAGGAGATGGTTTCCAACGAGTAGCGGATGTCAAGTGGGTTGATAATATTGCTTTTGTGGTTACCACTCTTATACTTGCAAACACATCAAAAAAATGATGAGTCCTTGCAGACTTGCAGTAAATAACATGTCTCCCATACTTATAAGTGTAGATACGTGCTAGGTTAATTTTTGTATTTTAATTTAAACCATTGTTTAAGATATTGTTAAGCTAAACCTTTTCAAACAGCATAATCTTAGTTAAATAGATAATGAGTTTTAAGTCTGGATAAACAAACACAAAAAAAGCCTAATAAGGTTCAAAACGATTACAAACACGAATCTTGAATAAACCCTAAAGATTCAAACACAAGGAAGGAATCTCTACGCAGCGACCTTGTTCTTCTTGGGCGCACGGTAGGTACCGACGACACAGGCATGGTCACGCTCAAATGGCTCAAGCGTCACTTGCTCTGCCGGCTTGAACTGCTCCTGTTGCAGCTTCTTCACTTCACTCTGGAACACTGCTTCTGCTGGAACTGTTGAGTCAATACAGTTGGCCTGTTGCAAACAATTTAGAGAAATAAGTTTTACTAATCTTTGACCAAGAATAGAAGAGTAGAAAAATTATTGATGAATATCTGATATGCTACTAACCTTGATAGAGATAACAAAGTGACCTCCTGTTTTGAGGAAGAAGCTCGAGTTCAAAGCCACGATCCTAGCCTAAGGGTTTTTGAAGGACAAGCAACATTTCATAAAGAACAATTACAAACATAAAAACTATGATTTAATACCTAAACCTGTGTCATTAGCCAACAGGTGACAAGGCATTTGACACTGAAGTTGGCCAAATCTTTAAAAGACCAAATTAAAACTTCACGGAAAACCAAAACCGATTGATTTTTTCATAAAAATATTGGATTGAAAACTGTAATGGAATAAGAAAAAAAAAAGCAAGAAAATTTTCTAAGGTGGTAAGGAAAATAAAAAACTATAATCGGAAAAGAAACCAATCTAAAAACTACATTGAAGGAAGATGTTCTTAAGCATCAGAAACTTGGAGTTTGCAACATACAAAATGTTCTGAAGGGGAATCCAAGTAAAATCATCATTTGCCATCATCAGAACACCGTTTTAAAAATCCAAGGACAAATATAATGCCATAAGCCAACCTTTTTGCGAAAATTTGAAGTAGAATTGGACATTCCATGTCTAAAGATGTAAAAAGATGCAAACCTGATCAGGCTGAGCAACATCAGCGAAAACAACATCAACCATGCCTACGAGCATTCTGTATTTAGCAGGGTGTCTAGCATCCTCAATGATTGGAATAACATTAGTTCTCTTCTTTGCCATGTTCACCAAATCTCTACCACTTCGGTGAGAGAACTCAACGGCGTAAACACATCCCTCCTACAAAAACCCACAAAGCCAATATGATGAGCAGCACTATAAAACACATAAACATGTAATAATAAACTACAAATATAAATAATGCTTACAGGTCCAACAATGTCAGACACATGGGAGACTGTTGTTCCAGAAGCAGCACCAAGGTATAGAACTTTAGCACCAGGTTTCTACATTCAAACGAATACAAACAATCAATATATGAACCAAGTCTCACAACCAGGTTTCTACATATGAACAAGTCTCACAACCATCAAGTTTAACAACATGATCAGACTTACGATGTAAATGTTATCAACACCACCGAGAATAGCAGCAGCCAACTTGGAACGGAAAGGATTCCACACCCTGTATTCAGTCTTGGTTCCATCTTCATTCTGTATATGTAATCACAAACCAATTGATATAGTGAAATAAACAAACATTAAAATTTAAACATTCAAACCTCTATTATATACCTGAACCGAGATTCTCTTTTCGTTGTAAACAGCTTCACCAGGAACCAAGTTCTTAGTGACAAGAGCCTCCTCTTTACCCTTTGCAATAAACACTCCAGCATGTCTGTGTGGCTCAATAATCACCTTGCTCCCTCCCTTCATTCCACCACGTCCACCGGGTGCTCCTCTGCGACCACCACGGTCTCCTCTACCTCTCATGCCTCTACCCGGTGCACGTCCACCACGGTCACCAAAACCACGCCCTCCTCTACCTCCTCTTCCTCCAGAAGAGCCACCACGTCCACCACTGTACCCACCGCCACCACGTCCTCCACTGAATCCACCACCACCTCGTCCTGAACACACAACACCGTTAAACAACAGATCCGATGATAATAGTAAATACCCAATACATATCTAAGCTAAAAGGAACAACCTTTACAATCAGTACACAGAAAGGAAAAAGCTTTACAATCAGTACAGCTAATAGACAAAGAGATTGAACTAAACGAAAACAGAGCTAAGCCAGTTTTAATCCTAAACAAAAGAGCCTAAGAAAAGAGCGGCGGCTAGAGTTCTTACCACCAGTTAGAGGAGGTCTCATCTTTGAATTAGGGTTTAAGAGACTGCGAGATAAGCTTTTCAAAGAGAGGGAATGACGGATGGAGATGAAGGTGCGCTTGAGAGTTTATTATATACAAGTGTGATTCTAGGGTTTTGAGAGGGTTTAGAACCTGCCTCTTTTACTATTATTTTACAAAATTACCCTTACGTTATGGGCTTTTTGTGCGAAGAGATAGTTGGGCTTCAGTCTCATATTTTAGGCCTTTATATGAAAGCAATTCCCCTTATTGGACCAAAGCCACGATCGGAAAGAGTAATATCTTTTATAATGGGTTTGGTCCATTATAAAACAATACCAATTAACTCTGTGGGTTTAGATTCTTACAATCCTCTCTAGTAATGTTGTTCCAAAGTTCAAACATACTCAAAACTTAAGTTCAAAAATAAGATAAACATCATGTCACCAGTGATCAGTGACTCAACATGTTCACAATCAATGAAAAAGAAAATTTTCATAAATCACCAACGATATTAAAACACTGATTATAAGCTACCATATATATATATATATATATATATATTTTTTTTTTTTTCTGGACAACAAGCTACCATATATATCACAATCAATGAGTTAGTGAGATTGTGAAACACGGAAATGGATAAAATTAGAATGAAAGAAATAAATGATAGAGAGGAAGTGTGCATGTGGGATGTTGGGGGAGAATAGGTCCCCTCCTCTTCCTACCAATCATTCTAACTTTCCTCAATTTCTAAATTATAATCTTCTTTTTTCTTTCTGTTTGTCAAATTAATGGTCACGCACTATAGTATATGTGTCCAATAGCATGTTATATGTAATGGAGTAGCTATATAGCTAGGTCATAACCTCGAAATGTTTTTTATTTATATGGATGAAGGAAGATTCCCTTTGATTATTCCACTTATTTTGGCACTTTTTATCATGTTCAATGTCTACTCGACCACCATGTGACTACTAGTGGATGACCGGTCATCTTTTGATGTAAAATTTTATCAATAATACGCCACATAATGTTTATGCTTCTTTTATATGTAACCATGTATGTACATATCCATTTTGTATTCACACGTAGCGAGACTTTCATAGTTCAAACATATATATAACTTTCCTTTACAAGATGTGTGGATAAGTGAAGCCTTTAGTTAGTTGACTTGTTGATATACCTGGACTTGATATTTTATATGATTTCCTTTATAATATGCATATATGCTGTAATTTATCATACCACATCACTATCAATAATTGGCTCCAAATTAAATTTAGGCATACATATATAAGATATTCATCATTCGTGATCCAGTTAGACATATATATGGTCGAACTTGATAATCATTATTTGTTTGTAGTGTTACTAGTTCGTGTAATTACACCAAACTAAATGTGGAAAATATGTAAGTTGTGGTTCTTGTGGACGTAAAATTTTTTTTACTATGTTTCTGAATTAAAGGATTTTGCTGAAATTTTAATGATTTAAACAAGCCAAAAAGATTTAAGAAGACTACTGGTCCTGTTTAGATTGTGGGCTTACTGATAAAAACATTGGTACATGACATATATTATATGATCTGTATCTATGATCTGACTCTGAGTACAAATTTCAAGCACAGTATCTACAACTCACAAATAGAACTTGACGTCAAATTATTGTATAATTTTTATCCGTAGCTATTAAAAAGTGGAAATAAGAAGATAGTGTTGAAGCCTGAAAGGTTGTAGGACAGACAGTTTATTAAAAAGTAAACTAACTACTGTAAACTGAAGGTTGATTTAGGTTTGTGTGTGTTCCTAAGAGCATGTTTAATGGAGGTTGCTTAGAGAGTTGCTTAGGAGGAGAGGAGTGGTTAATTTGAAGAGAGAGAGTTGCTTAAGAGGAGAGAAGTTGCTTAATTAAGCAATTTTCATACTCTCTCTCTTCAAATTAAGCACCCCTCTCCTCCTAAGCAACTCTCTAAGCAACATGCATTAAACATGCTCTAATCCACACAACCGTAAAAGGCAAACCTTAAAAGTAATTGTCAAAGTCAAGGTAAAAGAGTAATGTCCACAGTTAGAGAAGTAAAGAAAAATCCACTTATATTTTAGTTGTTGCATGTTTAATTGCCATGGATGCTTCTATCTGTCATATAATAGTGAGTACAAAGACTAGAGACCGGTGTGAAAATGTTTTTTTTTTTTTTTGGAGAAAGGGCATGAATTTTAGAAAACGTAACTTTTATGTTATGTTTACCTACACAAAAGAATCGTTGCCACTTTTTATCATCTTTGTTGCCATAATGTTTGTTATAAAAAGAGAATACTCACAAGTCACAAAAGTGAACATCTTTCTTATCGAGAGAGAAAGGTAAGGGGTCACATTCGTACGCACGCATGTAAAAGTCATTATACTGGCTACTACACACGTGCGCTCTCTGCTTAGCCCCATAACCATAATGGCATCATATATTGCTTTTGAAACTTGACTAAACTACCCTCACTAATCTGTTTTTGTCGCATTGGTTTAGTTTAATCATTGACAGAGCATATGAAATCATAATTCATACATCTTCGAAGATCTTCCATTAGCCAAAAGTATGGCGGCTACCACTAACATCTCCATCTGATTCTAGATCTAAGTAATATTAAAAAAAAAAACAGAAAAGTAAATAATAAATAATAAAAGTCAACAAGAAAGTAATATAATTGTTAACCATTTTTTGCTCAATTGCGTTCACAAGTCACAAACAAATCGTGTTTTGGTCCTGAAGAATCTCTTCTAGGGCAAGCCACACACACTGATCAATAATTTCCTTTATATTTGATACTCTCTATAGTTAATTGGTCACTTCATGAGTGCTTTGAAATAATATTTGTGCATTTAAAAATTACTAATCAAATATTCGAAAGTCATGAAACTTACATATTGACTTCTTTACAAAGAATCTAGGTAAAATGTTTCTCTTGTGTGGGCGAGCGGTCATCTCTAATATAGCTATTTCATTTAGATGTTTTAAGTTGTTCGACTTATAGACCAAACGCACAAATGATGGTGACAAAAATGATAGGATAACACAAATATGCCATGCACGATCCGATTCGACCATCAAATGGTTTAAATGTCGCCATAAGAGCCCTATATATATCACACTGAAAGTGATTCAACTATATATATGCATAGTTGTTATATAACTTATATTATTCAAGGCTATTGTAACTATTTAATCTTGTGTGTTTGTAGTCTTGAAACATTTGGATTTACTGATTTATAGAGGTCCAATCTTTTTTTTTTTTTAGGAGGATTTGGGTCTTGGGTATTAATTTTCATTCTCGGCTCGAAGTCAGTCTTTGACCTTGAATTTTTTTTTAAAGGTTTATAGCAACTAAAGAGAAAAAAAAACGAAATCTAACTAGTACATAAAACAAAGTAAGCAACTAAATAACTAAACGAACAGTAAATAAGATTTTTATAATTATGAAAGGAAGCACTGGATCAAAGAATTTCAACGAAGAAAAACATCTGATAAATTTGAAAGGCTATGATGTAATGAACACTTCATAAAAATCGTCCATAGGTTTTTATTTACGTGATTTAGCATGTTATTATGCTTTACACAAAACTAATATGTTGCATTAGCTATTTTTCAGATCATATATATAGATGAAGATAATAATTACAGCTATTCCAAATAAGCTGAATACATTGATAGTGTATAAACCTTATAACACTTTAGGGTGTAGTTTTTGTTCCAAAAAGAGGATAACTTTTTATGGGAACATGAATTGAATATCCAAATGCACATATTAGACGTACTCGAAGTGTGAACACACTCGGGTGTCCAAAAGTTTATTAAATCTTCAGATCATGTCACATACCAAGAGATCATGTTATGATAAGTATCTACACTACAATCAAGGCCAAAAACGATCAATCACAACAAAATGTGTTTATTTATCCTTCATTAAAACTTTAAAGATAAAAAGTGCATTTTAGCAACAAAAGAAAAGAGAAATCAAAGTGCTACTATTATTATACTACACAAACCAAGCAAAAAAAAACTGCCTATTTATAGCAAAAATAACCCATTCCACACACGAACGTAGCAATAACGATCTCTACATCTGAACGGTGTTTGGAGAAAACTAAACTAATGTAATTTATTTGTCACGAGAATCTCACAAAAACTGACAGAAGACTCAGAGAGCGGCGCATTTATCTTAAAAGACTCACGAGTTTCTTGACGTTCTCCATAATAGAGTACCCCCCCCTCTCAGTGGTATTCCCACTGTATACAAAACGAGGATATATTTGGTAATATTATTAAAAAAAATAATCGAAAGCCATTTGTCTGCACCACTATTATGCGTTACTCTCCTCTTTAAAAAGTATTTTCTTTCCCAATTATTTTATAGCAAATGATTTAATTACTAACATTACAATAATTGCGAATAAATAAAGAAAAAATAAATGGAAGCGCGTGGGTCCGGAACCGTCAATTCTGCTGACGTGGCAATATCTCGTGGAAAATTGAATGCAAACTGTAAAAGATAACGACCAGTGAGAGATAGAGAGAGAGAAGGCTCGGCTCATCCATGTAATAAAAAGTTTTGCTTATTTATTCTCTTCTTGTCCGTTCGAATTCACATTTTAATTTTCCAGATTTTTGTTTCCTTTGATTTTCACCGGGAAAATTCTCTAACTCCTTGTTTCATTCCTCAGAGCTCGTAAAATCTGTATGTTCTTGTTTGGTTGATTCTAACAAAGTCTAAAGATATGAGAAACGTTAGTAACACTGTCGAGACGGTGAACGCCGCCGCTTCCGCCATCGTCTCCGCCGAGTCTCGAGTTCAACCTTCATCAGTACAGGTAAACAACACTATGATCTCTCTCTTTTAAAGTGTACTAAAGTCTGTTCCTTTGGATCAATATTCATAAAATTTGAAATTTGTTTTTTTGCTTAAATTTGAAAGTTACAATCTTTAGATTCTGTCTGTCTGAAACTGATCAAAAATCTTGTCTTTATTTATTTACTTACAGAAGAAAAAATGGGGAAGCTTCTGGCGCTTGTACTGGTGTTTCGGATCCCAAAAGAACAACAAACGAATCGGACACGCGGTTCTCATACCCGAACCGGTTACATCCGGTTCAGCTCCGGTTGCTCCTCCTACCCAAACCTCATCTACCAACTCAACTTCTATATTCATTCCTTTTATAGCTCCACCTTCATCACCCGCATCGTTTCTCCAATCAGGTCCTTCCTCTGTCTCCCACACCCCTCACGCTAACGAACCGTCTTCAGCTTTTACTATTGGGCCTTACGCACACGAAACTCAGCCCGTTACTCCACCTATTGACTCCGCCGTCACAACTGCTCCTTACACGCCGCCTCCAGAGTCTGGTCAAGTGTCTTGCGCAACAACACCTTCTTCCCCTGAAGTTCCTTTCGCTCAGTTACTTACTTCTTCGCTGGAACGAGCTAGGAGGAATAGTGGTGGAGTGTGTCAGAAGTTTTCGGCTGGGCATTACGAGTTTCGTTCGCATCAAGTGTATCCAGGGAGTCCTGGTGGTGGTAATCTAATCTCACCTGGATCTGGTGCTTCTACTCCTTATTCTGGTAAATGCTCTATAGTTCAGTTTCGTGTCGGTGAGCCTCCCAAGTTTTTGGGGTTTGAGCATTTTACAGTGCGTAAATGGGGGTCTAGGTTTGGTTCTGGGACGATTACACCTGCTGGTCAAGGTTCGAGGTTGGGTTCAGGTGCTTTGACTCCTGATGGTTGTGGAAGTGGAGGACTTGGGTCAAAGCTTGGTTCTGGTGCTGTGACACCAAATGGGGGTTTAGGCAGTCTTTTGGATAGTCAGATCTCTGAGGTTGCGTCTTTGGGTAATTCTGATGATGACGTGTCGTCAAGGCATGATGAAGGTGTTACCGTTGCTCATAGAGTTTCGTTTGAGTTGACTGGTGAAGATGTTGCGCGTTGTTTTGCAAGTAAGTTATATGAGAAAGTGAATGAGGATACAAACAGATGGAGTGAGTCGGTTTCTGGTAACGAGCTGAGTGAGAAGTTGAAAACGTTTTCGTTAGGGTCGAGTAAAGAGTTCAAGTTTGATAACACGAAAGAAGAGATGGTAGAGAAGACAGCAGAGTGGTGGGCTAATGAGAAGGTTGCAGGAAAAGGTGATAACAGTCCTGGAAAGAGTTGGAGTTTCTTTCCTGTGTTACGGTCTGGAGGATTCAGTTGACAAACTGTGTTTTTTTTTTCAGTCTTCTTCATTACCAGAAGATAAACCTTCTAACATTGGTAAGCAGTTCAGTGATTTGGTAAGAGATTGGGGTCTAACAATTATGCTGCATATATATAGCTTTGCATTGTGGGAGTCTGTTGTACTTGTACTGGTATGATATATAATTATATATATTCTTTGGATAGTTTAACAAGCTTTGTTTGACTTTAATTACATGAAAATCTGAGAACCCATTTCATTTCAAAATCTTAAATTTCAAGTTTAATTCCTCACAATGGAATCATGTCAACAAAATAAAAAAACATTGTCTTTCTATCAAGAATGAGGACACTTGAAATCAAGAAAAAATCTATCTCTAGAAGCAAGAAAAATAAACGATTTGTCTCTCTCGCTGCTACTACTGCATTTTTGGTATACCTAAAAAGAATGATACGCTCTGGTCCAGAATTAAATTCGTTTCGATTTTTCAAGGAATCTTCTGTTTTGGAACATACTTCACCTTCGTGCCCTTTTCGGGTTTCATCCTGTGCTTTGGTCTTGCGGCGGTTATAACACCATTTGTGGATTCGTGAGTGTTGTTGCCTGGCATGTGTGTTTCCTGAGACAGAACCAACGTCACATGTTCTGCAGAGATTGCCTCTTTCCATCCTGTCAAACCAATTCAGATTTGAGTAAACAACTTTTAAAACTATTGACATTCAACAATAATGTAACTGAAAAAAAAAATAATAGAACTTAAAAGAAACTTACTCTTTGCAAGAAACGCCTTTGCTTCGTGGTTGTTGAACTGCAAGCTTATGTGACGAGCGGTCTTAACTTCAGGTTGAGTTGAGTTTGAGTGCTTGTCTTTGTTGTCCGTGTTTTCATCGGCTGTTGACACTTTTCTTCCCTGGCTGCTCACTGGTCTCAATACTGTTACAGTTGATTCCTCAGATGTGGGTTTCGCCTCAGCAGCCTTTGTACCTCCCTCCTCTTCACTACATTTTGCTTGGTTATGTTCTCCACTGAGACAGCTGTTTTCGAGTGTTACACTTACCGATCCAATCAGAAACTCACTGTTCTTAGTTTGATCCTGTTCAGCTACTGCTGCGTCTGCTGATAACGATTTTGGGTTATCAGCTTTTCGGCTCCAAACTTTAGTAGTATTGGCTCTTGCGTCTCTGTTAGTTCCGTTCTTTCGCATGCCGCCAAGTTTTGGCGCATGATTACCGTGGAACCCATTCGGCATTCCATACTGTGATCTTTCCATTTCCCTACGGCCACTTCGCCTTTCCATGTTTTGGCCATTACCAAACCCATCATCATCAACCAATGGCGCTTGAGTTTCACTGTTTCTCCCATTATCCATTTCCAAAACTTGAGGTTCTTCAAGGGATGAAGAGTCCTCAGTTGGTATGGAGTCTGACCGCTGTGCCTCTGAATCTGAAGCTACAGATAACGCGCTTGATGACTCGGCTGGAGATTGTTGTTGTTCTTCTGATGTGGTACTCTCGTCTTCCTTAGCATCTTTTGTCTGGTCCTTTACTCTCTGTTCTTTCTGTCTTAGCTTCTTCCTCTTCTTCCTCTCCAAGAGCTCAACTTGTCTGATCCAGACATAACACCAGTGAATAAGACTCAACACTTGGGAACCAATTCCGAATTGGAGAATCTTGATTTTAGTAATCTTATATCACTGGCATTGCAATTAATAAGCACGCACCTTCTTTGAGCAGCTTCTTCCTCTTTAACCAGTAAGTTTTGGCACCTGAGGGCCTCGGCATCTTTGTCAGCAAGCCAAGCTTTAATCTGTACATTAAGAAAACAAAATAAATCACACATGTAACGGATACGTGCAAAGCAAAGTCCACGTATTAGACACTTTGCTTTGCCAACTAGAGGGGAACGGTGAAACCTTGACGGAAAAACTTACCAATTGCTGTTCCAGAAAAAAGCTTGCGCAAGCAACAACATTTTTTGCTTCCAGTACATTTTTTCCATTTTCCCCGTCAAAAATGTACTTTTGCATTGGTGCAGCCTCATTACTCATGAAAGTTTTTTCGCTGGCTTCATCGAGAATGCTAAAAAGTTGATTTGAAGAAATTGGAAACCTAAGTGGTCTACCCTGGATAATATCCTGGAGAAACAGAAAACATATATCAGCCATGAGACTGAACATGGAGAATACTTTATCTAGAAAGATTAAAAAAGAAAGAAATCAAGAGAGAGACGACGTTCATACCAAAAGGTCAAAAGCAGCTCTTATATAATATTGCGGGAGCGCAGTATATCCTGGGTTTTCGATCAGAGAAATTAGTCCTGACTCAACTGATTCTCCACGAACATTCTACAAGAATCAAAACAAAGCATCTTAAGTTGGAGAAACTAGTCTCAGGTCTGCAAAGCCTATTAATTAGTCACACAGATCCATGATGAAGAAATCCAATGCTAGAGCAGGGGAAAGAAGGAACAGCATGATAAATGTATGCATACTCAACAGCCCTGTGAGACTGTGTATGCGAATTAGGTATGGTATACTCTCTATTTTTTTTTACTTTTCCATTTTGAACTGAATCCTATCATGGCTTCACACACCTTGCAATAATGAAGAAAATAAGCAATTCATAGTGTCAGAAGTCAGAACCCTTGTAAAAGATGTAACAAACAACAACAAATTGAACCATTGGGAGACTGGGGAACATGCAATACTACACTCATAACGATGCTCACCATGCGCTTAAAATGAGTGAAGATAAAAAAAAAAAACAAGTATTTTTTGAAAAAAAAGAAGGGAAAGCATCAAAATAGGAATCATACTACCTCCAGCATCATGCTCTTCAATGAAAGAATCTCCTTTGCATCAACCACAGAGAGCTGAAATAACCAGAGAGAAAGAACATAATCACTACCTAAAGGAAAAAAGAAACAACAAAGAGAAGACGTCTAAGAAGAAAACTAACCTTATCCCAAAAAGCCCCCAGCGCATCCCTCTCTTTGCCAGAATACTGTAACCATGCCAAAAAAAAAAGCAAACCTTTTCAGATGACTTCGTAAATAAACAGTGTAAGATAAGAAAAAAAAAAAGCAAACCTTTTCAGGCTTAGATGAACGCCGATGCATACGCTTATGCCTTCTAAAGTTGACAGGAGAGCAAAACTCCCTGGCGCACTTTTCACACTTGTGCAATTCTATCTTCAAAGGAGTCAACAACGGCCATCCTGTGAACAAAATAGAACATCAAATAAAACCCCAAGCACCAATCCCCAAAAGCCACACATACTATCTTATCTCAATCATCAAAATTCAACGAGGTTTACAATCATAACAAACAGTTCACTGATTCCAAACCCTAGAGACATTGAGGCAATTACCAGGACGTTCTAAGGAATGGAGAAGTTGAAAGAGCTGAACAGGACTGTTCTCAGGTCTATGGAAGGTAAGAAAAGGATCTTTTCCAACAGCTCGTCTGATTAGCATGTCCACAGAATCATTCCCTTCTTGTTTCACTACCTCCATTTAATCCCACCAAACTGCAAACAAACAAGGATCATGCCAATTACCATTAACAAACACACACACAAGCTTCCTATAAACACAACACATCAACTATATATATATATTATATATACAAATCAATTATCACAAACCACACTGAACACAGACTGCCACCTAAATCGAAATCACTACAGTTATGGATATACGAAGCGATTGAATTCCAAAATTCGATTTGTGAGTGTTTATCGAAAGTGAATGTAAGTCCCCGATCACGTACCAGTAACAGAGTAACAACAGATCGGGCGTGCGTTCGAAAGAAGAAGAAAAGTTAAAGAGCGATCGTCGGGGGGATTTAAAAAGCGAGAAGAGGGAGCGAAACAGAGCTGGTGCAGGAAAGAAAGTCGCCGAGAGAAAATCCCGAGAAAGTGATGGGACGCTGAAGAAAATGAGAGCAAATTTCGGAATGGGGAGAGGCAAAAGAGATTGTGGGGAGGAATTATAAAGGAGAGACAACAATGGGGTCCGATTCGTAATATCCAGCAAATATTGATGGTCAAAAACATAAATTAAATGATATTAAATGTTAATTTAGGGTAATATCATTTTTTTCCTCTGTAATTCTCTGTTGGTCCAGATTTAATACGTGAAGTAAGCCATTCGTGTTTTATTAACATTTGTTTAGATCTCATTGGTCCGATGATGTGGCAAACACCATTTCCTTCTTTTTTTGGCAAAACACAATTTCTTTTCTTATTAACACTTGTTTACACCTAATATTGATGAACAAATAAGAAATGAATACATTTCCAAATTTCCCTGCATACCAACTTAACTAGTTATTTTTGGGTTTAATTGTCAACTATCATAATCTGACTCATTTCACAAATGTCAATTGCCTGACTCAAGCCAAATATGTTGTGTTTCCGTGGCATCAGAGTTCGAATCAATCTTCTATAATCCACATTTAACTTTTATGGAAATATTCATCAGTATTTACATCTGCTTTTAGAGTATTCAAATATACACCTCCTAATTAAACTGAAATGATTGGAATCATATATATATATATATATATATATATCAACAGGCCCGTCTTAAATATTTTATGCACTCTGAGCAAATTTTCTCATATAATTATTTTTATATTTTTTATAAAATCTTAATTTGGTCTAGAAAAAATTGAAAAATGGTGATAGGTCATGTGTTAATCCACCCCAACATATGCATAGGACCGGACCTGTATATCAAGATTCAACGTGGGAAAATGTGTATTTTTGAAGGGAATATATTGAGACTTAAGAGCAACATTATCGATGATCCTTAAGTGGAGTCCAATATGATCAGGATGATGTCAAAAATCAACAAGCGTTACAACTCTTTCTGCAGGTACCAAAGTAAGGAGAGCCAATCATATAAACATGATTCTTCTTGCACTCCCCAAGCTGAGCCCAGTGTCCACAGTTCTCATCTTCATCACTGCATTCACCCCTCTCATCATCATCATAATTTCTTGCTTGTTTCTTGGTGTATATCAGTTTTGTCCCCACCAACAGTTTTCCTTTCAGCACAGGGCATCTAAAATGATTGCTTGTCTGATCCAAAGATGCATTCAAGTGTCTGGTGAAGAACAGAACTGCGTTTCCTTTTACTGGTCTTAACATGTTACTGGTCTGTGAGCAGTCTGACCAACTCTGTTTGGTTTTTACCTGGAGGATTAAAAAAAAAAAGATTTTAGTATTCGTTGTGTTAATTTCTATTTGTTTTCTACTGACCAGAGAAGCTCTCCACCTTGAGTTGTGTTTGAGACGTAAAGAATGATGGTTGCCAACAAAGATTCATGCAAAACTGAGCTAGATTCTTCTTCAAAATAATCCAACTTCTTGCCTGAATTTTCCGACGTGTAACTTCTTAGCTTGATGGGACCGCCTTTTTCTGAAAGATGTGCACCAAAAGAGGATAAGGCAGCAGTTTTTGGCCAAGAAGAAAGCCATTACAAACATAATCCAGTAAAAGAGGCCTTTACAAGAGCAGTAAAAGAGTGTTCATAGATTGAAAACCAAGTTAAGTAAAGGTTAGTACTTAGTACCTCTTGGTAGGAAAGTCCAGGCAGATATCTTTTCTTCAATCCCATCAACTATTAAATCCTAATTTATCCAGTACCAACTTAATGACTGGAACATAAACATAGTTATAGCTATTTCGAACAGCTGAGGTGGAAACTCTTATAAGTTGCTTGTCACAGAAAACTACAAACATGTTATGTTAGAATCTACTTGAATAACATATACACTACAAAAAAAAGCTTAGTTTGAATCATTTATTTTATATATTTGCATTATTTATAAATGATGTAAATGCATTTTGCATCACTTAAATAAATGACTTAGTTTTTGGTGATGCAAATAATTTGTATCATTTTATTCACAACTGATGCAAAAAATAATTAATATTTTCATCAATTAATTTAAGTGATGTCAATATATGTCAATTGTTACAAATGATGTTACTATTTACATCATTTGTTCTAAATGATATTAATATTTGTGTCGGTATAATAAATTGATTGTAATTATTTAAATCATTTACTGTTACATGATGTTAAAGTAATATCAGTTTTTGGAAATGATGCTAATA